ACCACTATCACTAGGCTAGATACTGCAAAGGCCACCGCTCGACTAGCTCAGTTCTTAACGAATCCAGGGCCCCAGCACCATCAAGCAGCTGACCGGGTCATCAGTTACCTATATACTACCCGGAACCTAGCTATTAAATATAGTGCAGACGCAGTAAGTACTAGAATCGATTCTATACAGTTCGTAAGCGATGCTTCATACGGAGATCACCCAGATCGAAAGAGCTCTGCAGGCTACATCTGTCAAGCTTATGGTGGACCAGTTGACTGGAAAGCGAGCAAGCAACCCACCGTAATAACGTCAACTACTGAAGCAGAGTTGCTAGGCCTATCAGAGACAGGGAAGCAACTTCAATGGTGGCGTCGACTACTAAAAAGCCTCGGTTTTGAACCCTCCCACAATATGGCGATCGACTGCGACAACGAGAGAACGATCAGCCTACTTACTAGTGAGGACACTGCCTTCGAAACGAAGCTTCGGTATGTCGATATTCATCATCATTGGCTTCGGCAAGAGGTTAGAGAAGGACGCATAATAGTGCGATAGGTGCCGACGGCGAGCATGGTTGCAGATGGACTCACAAAGATGCTATCTCGCCAGAAGCATGAGAGCTTCCTAAGGATGCTCAGGATGGTGGACATAGGCTATCTAATGGCCTAGTCAATTAAACCATGGAGATAAATATGCCGATCTAACAAGTCCAGCAATCCCATACTGGGATAGCTGAGGGGGTGTGTCGGAGCATGACGACCGGCATACCGGGGGATTTATTAATCCTACACATTTTTGTAATTAATGTTATGTAATCATGGCTCCATATAAATTGTACCAAGAGCCGATACAGAAATACAGAGAGTTGAATACCACTGATTGGACCCCTACATTTACAATACAGACCAATCCGACATATCTGCAGCTGTAGTCTGAGGCTGCCACAACAATTGCACTACACAATGCCACTACATTGTACTACTTCGTGATATCATCTACTACATAGATTCCAACACTTTCCTCACCTACAAAATTTGAATTCCGAGATATAGCACTGGTCCTCCACACGAACCAGTAAAGCCTAGACCCAACCTAAACCTAACCTAGTCTAGGTTGGGTTTCAGGTCGAGACCTCCGACCTAGTTGCCCTTAAATCACCCATTGTAAGAGTGGTCATTCTAAGGGCATGATCTGAGCAAACTGCAAACCCTTCAAAGCCCTTTAGCCTATTCCCGGATGAGATATTGCTTGGGCTGGTATGGGTTCCATACTGTGGGTCTCGATTTTAAGCTGTGGGATGTAGACAATGGCCAGTAAGAGGAGACTCTGGCTTTCCTTTACTTGCCAAGATTTCTGTGCTACATGAAATCCTATCATTTCTTTCAATGGCTATCACCATTATAGGGATGTAAGGATCCGACTCATATGTAAGCAAAGTGTATAATTAATCTCAGAAAAAATACGTTTCAAGGTGCTGAGGCTCCAGGAAATACTTTACAGTATGACCTCACAAGCCGACAGATAGTCCTACATAGGCTGCGTCGGTATCTACTAGACTAGATAAAATAAACTCAAGCTTGCTTTATTCAATGTCTGGAGATATTAAGGGAGTGTGGAGCAGGCAATTTAACTGTATTGAAGCTAACTGCACTGTGTGTAGGGGAAAGGAAGAAGAGAGAGAGGAAGCTATTTGTAGCTACCACTCCTGTCAAACAGGATCAGGTGATCACAACGCAATGCATTGATGTTGCATCATTGCAAACATGTATCAGGTTGTTGAAAACTCTAGTCTTTCCTGTCCCCGATAAGAAAATGTTAGTAAAAGAAATACTCGATCAACTGTTTGGGGCTATCTCACACTCACCTGTCGTGGTATAGTCTTCTTATCTAACACAAACTCTGGGCAGGGTAAGTGCCTTCCATTGCGGAAATACCCAAGTGTCCTCTCCATGTGCCACTTCCATGTTGCATTGTCATGCACAGTGCCGAAGTGCTTCCAAGACCATCCCATGCATCGTCAAGAGCAGAGACCATTGTCTTGATCTGAGCAGTGGTATCACAGTTACGTCCCGAGGCGTAAAAGTAATAGGAATAGCTCACTCCGTTATAGTCTTGCAGGGTACCTGTGACGCTACTGCAGCTTCCGGCTTGACTTTGCTGATACATCTTGTTCGCAATTCCGAGGATCACTGCCTGGGACTTGTTGGCCTCGCTGAACTTGGTGCTTCCTGATTTCTTGTTTGACTCGGAGACGGAGATTGAAGTCCTCTTCACAAGTCCAATTTCATTTCTCTTCGTGGTGTTTCTGTCTTCCTCGAGCTCAAGAAAGTCACCATCGCCCCTTTTAGCGCCTGCGTGGTGATCGGAGCAAGCAGCTTGTGGGTCAATTCCAGAGCCAACGGTTGCCAGGCCAAGCACTCCATGCCATGTACCATGGTGATCAAAGTCAAGGCACACTGCAGAGGCTCCCTGAGAATGCAAGTCATCGAATGCATCGGAGAGCTTGTTGGTGATGGTCTTTGCTCGCTGAGTGCTGTCACAGTTTGAGCCAGTTGTGTAAGAATAGACGTAGTATTTATAGCCGACTCCATCGTCTCCTGTGGTGCTAATTGTCGCTGACTTTCCACAGACCTTTTGCGCGTCTGGTGCGCTGCTGTACCAACTGGTAATTATGTTGGCAACTCCAGTAATCACGAGGCCAACCGAAGCAGCCGTCCCGATGATGGCTCCGCCGCTCCACTTATGGACGATAGTATACTCATCGCTGGTCCGGACTTCCAGCTCCGCAACCTCTTTGTTATTGGTTTGACCTGAAGCCTGGTTTGGCCCAACTTCAAGTGCTGAGCAAACACCTTGTATGGACAGCAAAGTGACGAGGATGGATCCAAACTGATCCGAGATGCCTTTGAACATGATTGCGATATGACGGTGACTCTTGTGTTCGTGTAATATGGATAGTATCTATGCCGAGTTAGCAAGATCCCCGAAGAGTTAGGCAGAGTAGTTGTAGATTGCATACTGTTAAAAATATGGACGTGGATTGCAAGAGAGCAGGAATAGAAGGGAATCAGAAAGATGTTCGAATGCCCGAATGCCTCTGATGAATTGCTCAGAGAACGCGAGGGCCGATGCCTTTTTATATGCCAACGACTATACCAGAGTGATATCGAGCTTATTTGCCTCATCTGGTAAGGCAGTTGGCTATCTGTGGATATCAGGTAAATGCCTCACTCTCATGGCACTATCTGCATATCTATATTAGGGGCGAAGAATAGACCCCAAGTTGCCCCATTGTGGATCAAACAAAACTTGTTGTCAACACCTCAAAATTTGGGGGCCAGAGAGATACAGTGTAAGTCTCTTTTTCCTGGACCTCTTTGAAACATACAAATCACAAGGCAGATAGAAAAGTGGAGATGTTATCGAGGCTATACTAAACCTGAACGATAGCCCGTAGAGTACCCGCTTTTCTTTTTGTCTTTCCCCTACAGGATGCAGCATGGATATGAAGTGTAAGTACAGCGCTCCAAGGTCTCACTGCCTTGAGAACCCAATGAGCGCTCAACTGATGAGAACCGATATAAAGAAAGTAGACACCGAAGAGCGGCCGAAGAGTGGAGATAAGGCACAGTGGAGCCCGTTAGTGCCCTGGAAGTCCCAATACTGCTTACTAGGGGCGGGGCTGAGGGCTTTCAGAGTATATGCAGAATTAGAGGGGTTATGAGCTAGTTGAAAAAAACTTGATATTAAGTAGGCGTATGGAATCAGACTTCTTTCAAAGCACGTATTTTCCTGGGTTTGCGAGGCTCGGGACTAACTATTAGGATAAATATTGCCGGTGTCTGATAGAACAGAAACACTGAAGACCACATTTCCCCCTTTTGGCGTGCAGTTCACTTTCCATGACCTTTCCCCCGTAAATTTGGAAGTCCAATAATCAGACTAGGCTTTAGCAAATGTATCGTATGGCGGAGTTGATGTATATTGGACTTCATGTTCCTTTCACGCCCCACATAGGCTGCAGTCTTTCATAGACTATCCCACACTAAGTATAGATCGGGGGATCCCAACACTAGTGGCGTTTTTGCTTTCTTCAGCCACTTACCTGCCAACTATATTTGAGACATGGGGGCCGAAAAACCCTGATATATGGTCCCCGAAAGACACCAAGTATTGCTTACATTGGGGGCCAAGGAAATGGTCTTTGTACCTCGGAGTCAACCCGATGCCCGCGAAGGGCGATAAGACGACGTGCAACCTGCTTTTTGTATCTCTGCTTTGGATAAAACAACCAAAAAAAAAAAAAAAAAATAGTTCCATCAAGTGGAAGGCCTTGCGCGAGGCCCACCAAATTTCACGCGCTCTCGAGGCCTGATTACCATAATGGAACTATGGCCACCACGACATTGTGTATCCTCTGAGCTTGCCTTCCTGTTTGATAACGGACTATTGTCCCAGTTACCTACTGTATCGTTTAGCAAAATCTATTTTCAATACCAAAAGTGCATCGTGCGAGATCTGTGGCCACCCAGACTTTTTCATTGAAACTAAGAGGTAACCTGGTATGCCTGGCCACCTGAGGCACGATTAAACCAGCATCTCAGCTGCCATGTATAATCCCATACTCTGCTACGTACTGTTTTTGATACTACTCGATGTATTCACTTGCTGAACTGACATCGGATCGTTTCGTCTTGTCGAATTTGTGTATCTCAATAAATGCGGTCTACATCTTGTCACTCCCTTAGGTCATCACTATAAGTTCGTTGAATATATTATCGGCGTACTTCGGGGTTTTGGTGAGATTTTGGAGCTTATCCTATAATGTCGTATCGATCTGGTTGAACATCTATCCTGCTATGATGCGAGACTAACACTTCCATTTGGCGTACGTTGGGTGTCCCTCCTTCGGACGGGGCAGATCACTATTGATCAGGTGCTCCGGGAATAGAGGCGTCAGTTGGTATCTCATACCTACGTTCATCCTAGTAGGTTCTTGGAATTGTATTCTAGCATCCTGACTTTCTGCAGCTTCGCCAACGCGATCTCAGGTAGACCTTGGTCTGGGTGTGAAGGTGTCTGAGACCATCATCACTTTCTTGGTCGTCATCATCAACATCTGTAACGGGATTTTTCGTCGTAAGAACGTTTGGATTGTTCAAGACAGTGACATTGGGATTTATGGGATTGGCTGTTCTGTCGAGAATGTGGGGGTGGGCTCCTCCCTCATCATCGGTGTCAACATCAGCCATAATTGGACGAATTTAATCTGATTTGTCGAGTCGATCGAAAGTTTTCTCTCTGGATTGTGTGATTGAATGCACTGGGATTGCTAAAAGAAAGAACGGACAGGGAGGGGAAGAGGGGGAAAGAGAGAGAGGAAGAACTAATCTAGCTGTCTAGGTCCGGTCCCAATGATGGTCTCAGGCATCCAGGCACCCAACAGATTGGTTATTAGTCTTTCTGGTGGATTGGTTGTCGAATGGGTGAAAATGGGCGGAGTAATTTCACAGCAGCTTTTACTTTTCATATATTATGCTATCCTTACCGCAAAGAAGTGTGCAAAATATTACGGTAAATAACGCGTTATATAAATATCTAAGCAAAACCCCTTATGTGATTAACTTAACTGACAAAAATATGGGTAGTTGAAACAGGGCGATTTTCAAGTGTCAACAGACTTTGCTACCCTATATAATGTGAGGTCTTGCATGAGAGCTCAAAAACCTCTAGAGTGTGGATACCTTGAGCAGCAATTTCATTTAGTTAAATCAACAAATTTCTCTAGCTGCTTTCAAACAACTCTTGCTCTAGCTCACTGTCAGAACTTTCCAGCGTGTGTTTTTTGCCGTCCTCAATATTAACCGTGGCAATATTTTCGATTTGCCGTGGGTATTGTCGCCACAGGAACCTTCTTCCCTCGTCCCAGGAACCAAAGTGAATAACAAGCTCATCCCCTGCGATTTTTGAAGTTCGCCGCAATGGAGCACTTGGTAAATATGGAGTTTGCTTTGTACCATGTTGCCTAGCTATAAGCCTGGCCAAGTCAGACGTGGTTTGATAATTACCCCAAGGTTTATGCCGCAGCATGAGTGAAGCTTCGTGTTCTGAGTGACCGATACTTAAAAGGAACATAAAGCTTTGGTTGTGCTCCCATTCAGAATATAGGATATCCTGTCTAGAAGCTCGGTCATGACCTCTCAATTCAAGAACCCAGTCCGTGATTTGCAATCTTTCTTTGTCGGAAATGGAACGATATGGCAGGGGCAAATTGTGTTTAATCTCATCTGGATAGCATTGAAAATGCTCGGGGTTCGATTTAATGGTGTGAAATATGAAGGACTCGGGTAGTGTCATTTCTTCAATCATTGAAGCAATTGAGTAATTGTCTCGAATACCATCAAGTTCGCCTAATCCGAAAACGCATATATCGGCGCGCACAATAGACCTAGCCGGATTATTTTTTTCCAATGACACTAGAATGACCGTTTTGTAGGCTGATACCACGGGTAGATTCCGCCTATCCAAATATCCATGGCCAAATTGTGATTTGTGTCGTTCAAGGCTCAGAATGCATCTAGCACAGTGTTCATGCAAATGACCTTCGGCATTCACAATATGCTTCTGACATTCTGATATACGCTTGAACGACATGTCTGTATGCCTGGGACGTCTATCCCGTTTCGAGGCGAAAACCTCCTCAGCTGTCATCCCGCTCCGCAGAGCAGCGTTCATTTCTCGACGTGTGACAGTTACATGCTTCTTCGGAGCCCACATCTTTCGACATAAAATTCTTTGGATAAAGGGCTGCACTCTTGCCTCTCGGATGTACCCAAACCCGAGAGCCTCCAGTGCAGGCGTGAAATCATGTCTTTTCCGCAACGGGAATGGATAGATTGTGACAAGAGTGCAAGAAATAGCAGCAAGCAGAACCTGCCATGGAGATGCGGATGTCAGGCAGTCGACCAAATCTCGTATTGCCTTTTCGTGACAAATCCGTTCAGACCGTTCAAGTTTGTCGATACCTTTATGTTTGACTCTAAAGTTGGCGGTCTTTTTCAAAATATCAAAAGCTGTTCTGGAGATCGCCAAGCATGAGATTTCTCGCTTAATATCCCAAGAAGTACTGAAATACCAACTCGTCTCCATGATAACAAAGAATTCCTCGGGATAAGCCTCGGGGCTCGAATGACTGACTCCAGTCCAGAGCATCTCAAGCAACTCAAGATCCCTCCCTGACATCACCAACACCTCGTCAAACTGTGTGACGAAATTGATCAGCTGCCGAGCAACCGATTCAATGTTGGCTCTGGTCTCATATTTGCCTCCGATCATTTCCAGTAGACTTGGGACCAAATCAGATGTGATGTAAAGACAAACAAAGCGAAAATTCGAAATAAAGGCAGAGCGAAGAGATCCAAGCTCCGTATTTGGAATTGGGGTGTTTAGCATTGCTTCATGAGTTGACAAACTCGATTCAAATTGATCCCGGTTCGCTGTGAAACTTGATTCTGCAATGTCCTCGGCTGCGATACTTCGCGGAGGTGGGATCCAGTTGAAGACCCTTCCGCATGTAGAAAAGATATCGCTATCTTGGAAGCTCATTTGGTCTGAGATTTGTCCAGTGACAATGGATTTGAGATGTCTCACAATCTCAAGGCGGTAGATATCGCGGGCCCAATCCATAATGTAGTCAACAATGAGCACAAGTTGCAGAGCCTGATCTTTATGTAACAAAGAGCCAGACCATAGCAGAGATATTTCCTTCACGTGTTAGTCTTTAATTAAGTTATGCACCCGTTGTACTCACATAGAAAGTTGGGCTTTCGTTTTGTCCAGGGGCTAGGTAAGCCCCGTAGACCCTCCACGCATCACCCCGACATGCAAGGAACCAGACTAGCGGAGCCATTGCGGGATCGGATATAGGGGAATTAGATTGTAGATCCTCTTGCAATTTCAAGAGGGCCCGAATTGGAAAAGCAGACTGTATTTGTATGGCATCAAATCCGCTGTTGCTAGATTCGGACTTTGCCTCAAGGAGTAAAAAAGGAAAAAGCAGAGGATCAACATCCGAGCTGAATGGAGTGTGCTTTATCACGTCAGCAACAGTATCGCCAGGCTCATTTGCAAGTTCTGGCGGTGCTAGGCTGGAGAGCAGAGAGTCAAGATTCCTTGTATTCTTCAGCCCGTAGACACGGTCCGGGCCTTGTTTCTTCAGTTCTGATCGCAGGATTCCTTCATAAAGAATGAATTCTTCGGCCCGATCCTCAAACAGATTGTTCGTCCCGGTCTCATAGCTAGGAAAAAGAGCATATATTAGCAGATTGATCATTCAAGAGGCAGCGTAAAGTTTTTCTCACAAGTCATAGAGATGTTTTCCGTAAGAGCACTCGCAAGGCTTCCGTAAATTCTGACGTTCTTCCAGCCGCTTTGAATAATGTTCGTTGTTTTTGATTGTTGCTTGAATTTCTGATTTCCAAATTCTAGCTCTACACTTTGGGCTGTTTCTTGTTAGCGAATTCGCGTTGAGTGTGGCCAGGCTGCAATGAGAGATTGCAATGATGAAAGCTGAATTTCATGGCCCGGAAAGTCAATAAAGTGCCTACCATGCTACTTCAACAGTAAACCTTCGCAATACATCGTTCTCTAGTCCAAAACGCCAGCCTGCTTCATTGCGATTTTGCTCGAACAACTTCGCAGCTCGATGAGCCAGCCATTCGGCCCGAGATTTGGTGTGCCGAGCCCAGGGCTCTTCAGCAGATCTAATGCTGGCATTTTCAGCATATGTCTCGAATCGATAACTTCCCAACTCTTCGATGTTCTTGAATGTGTCAGCGTGACAGTCGGGCAATGGTTCGCTAGAAAGGCGAAAACGGATGTTGTATTTCTTCGCCAAACGTCTCAAATTCTTTAAATTGTTTTCCGCCATCAGAGACAGAGAGGCTGCTCTCGAGGGGAAGACTTTGGCGTGTGTGGAAAACTCAAATGGAAATACAGTTCAGAATGTTATAGGGAAGGGGGAGTTTTTGTTCCTATAGAAATACGTGTTTCGGCGCATTGCTTGTGTGTCGCAGTTAGCGCCGAGGGTATTTTGGGCGATTTTTCTCCTTCCGAAATCAGTTTAGAGGGAGGGGAAGGACACGTCAGCGGTCAGGGGCATGCAAGATATTCAGGGCGTTCAGGTGAATGGGCTGGAGGGTGAAGAGTAGGGCGGCAAAAGGCACTTTCCAAATGAATCAAAAAAAAAACACATCAAAAAACATACAACAGTGAGGATTCGCTGGTGGTCACCCACCCAACTACTAACTCACCGGCGTGTGGCTTAAGTACGGCTGAGCGGACGGGAAGCCCTGTTTTCCACACCCTATGGTCGTATGTATCAGGTTAGGTGTGGAAGGGGGTTATATAGTAAAAGATTGCAAGTGTTGGGTTGTGGAAGCGTGAAAAGGCTGAGTGCACTCTAGGCAAGGTGAGAATCAGCCTCAAGTTGCCGCATTACCCCTTTCAGCCGATAGTCCAATAAGGTCGATGCACCTGAAACAATTGCTATCTTAGCATCTACACACAGCCACCATTTGACATTCGTAGCATAAGCAATATATGTTGTACCGCAACAAATCCCATCTTGATTCAAAAGCAGAGCTACTCTGTACACAATTATCACTGAAGTGCGCAATGTCTGGGCTCGAGGTTCTTGGGATCGTCGCCAGCATACTACAGATCGCATGCCTTGGTGATAAATTATCTGTCAAGCTTTGTACATTTCACCGCACTGTGAAGGTCGCAAACCAATCTATGCAAGATCTTTCCTGCGACGTGCCACTCACCTGAAGCATTCTCAATGAGCTCGCCAAAGCCCTCGAACAGGACGACCAGGCAAAGCTTTGCTCGGAGCAGGCCTTTCGCATAGCACAAGAAGTCTTACGGGAATGCAAAGCAGTGTTCCAACAAATTGAAAACGCAATCGAAAAACATAATCAAGATGGCGAAAAAATTACTTTACCCGTGGTGCCCGCAAAGTAACCGTTGCACTGCTTGGGCCGAAGTTGGATCTCCTCAAGAGCAATTTGGAGAGGCTCAAGTCGACCATGTTGCTGATGTTACATGTTATCATGTACGCGGGGGAGCTTCACAAGTATGCTTAACTCAAATATTCGAATCCTTCTAACCCTGAACAAGAGGAAAGTAAAATCTACTCTCACTGACCAAAGAAACCTAATTCACATACTTCTCGAAGAGAAGAAAGCGAACATTGCCAAATTCGATCAGCTCAGCAGCTCTATCCAAGCATTTAGTATCTGTAATGATGATGGGTCTCACCAGGAGTCATCCAGGAGCTTGAGCACCGAGAAACCGCTGCCCCCTCTTTCAACAGAACTAAGGAAGTATCACACACTCGTTCAAAGGTTACTCCATGAAATCGACGCATACCAATATAGCCTGGAACAGAGTCGACATATTAGAATCCGGAATGGTGTTGTAAACGTACATTCAGTAGATGCTGCTCTATTCCAATATACTCATGGCCACACAGCGACCCAAATCTTTGATAACCCATTCTTCAAATTCAGGGACGCTTATTTTCCTGCCCCTGTAACCACTCGAGAACAATCGGTACCTACTCGTGAAGCCCAGCATGCTCATGTCAGCCCTCGGGAATCTGAGTATGATGTTGTTCGCCATTCTAACACCGAAGAGGACCCATACTACTACCATCGCCACAGTCGAGTCCACGAATACGACTTTTCTTCCCGGCGTAGACTAGATCCTGATGGTTCCATCTCCCGGGCCAGTCATCGTGGCGGTAATCAAGACCATGATTTCAGCAGCGATGACAATACAGTCTACACCCCGAAGGAAACCCACGACTATGAAGACTGTCCTCACCATCGCCGTCATCTCGTAGAGGGTGAATTGGTGGGTGCTGGCGCCGCTGAATTGTTCCGCAGCCACAGCAAGAAAAGCCGTGGAGAAGTTAACCATGGCGCCAGCCGTATCAGTAAGACTTTTGGTGCCGGTGGGCTTGGTGCAGTCGCCGTGAATCCTGCATCGCGTGCTCGGGGCTACTACCACCGTAGCAAGAGCCGCCACCGTGCTCATTCTTTTGAAGATGACTGTTCTTCTCATCGCCACAGCATACATGGCCGGAGTCGTCGCAGTCGCAGTCGCTCTCATTCGCACTCTCGTGCACAGATTCTTCTAGAGCTAGGAGTTGGTGCTGCTGCCGTGGCTGCTGGTGTGGCTTCATTGCGAGCTGGAGACCGTCAAGGCCGATCTCGCACTCGCTCCCGTTCTCGGGTTATTCGTCGAGGTCGATCGGCGAAGGATGAAGAACAGGGTGAACGGTCTCGCTCCACAAGTCGACCCAAACAGGCTCTTCCAATCGTTAATGCCGGAGCTGCTACTGCTGCCGCCACGGGCCTCCACGAAAATGGTAAACTCCAGGAAGATGAGAGGGATGGCACAAGCCGCGCCCAACACCGCTCAAGGCCTCGCTGTGCCGCTCCATCACAGTTTTACCCCGATCTATCCCGCGACTTAAACGGCCTGGTCGAATACGGGGTCGACCCCGTCACAGGTAGCATTCCCGATGAGCACTACTACCGGCAGCTATCCAGTCCTAGCGCGCCCTATGACTCATCCGATACCTACAGTAGACGCTCAACGCGCAGCCGCACCCGCAGCCGCAGCCACAGAGATCGCTACAGCAGCTCACCGGGCTCAGATCACGAAGACCGGCGGCGGCACAGAAGCAAGAAACATCGCAGCCGCTCACGAGAAATCTCCGCAGTCCTTGGAGTTATAGGCCTAGGCTATGCCGCACAGTACTCTCAGCACAAATATTGCAGAAAGCCCGAGGAGCGTGAATGGTCTAGAAACAAAGAGAGAAAACAAGAAGTGAGCATCAAGCGGTTCCAATCTTGCTCTGATAATGATGATGCACCCTGTGGCCGCACTCGCACTTGTTTAAATCAAAATTTGATCAGTCATGCAGTATCTGATGCAGAGAAGACTGCAAGACAAGATGGACAATCGGAAGAAGAAGGCTCGAGTTATAAATATCGTCGAATGAACTCTCCTTGCCGTAAATTGGAAAAAAGCGCAGAATATGACAAGGTCAACGAATCCACCACCCTGACGCCCAAGACTGCAAAGAACGACCTATCACTGCCCTCAGCTATTGACGAGGTAATGGAAGAGACATTGGAAGGTTTAGTTTTACAATGGACAAATCTGACACGAGAAAAGATTGAGATTGAATAGGATGACCGTGCGGTACGCTTAGCAATGAAATGGCTGTTATCTTTTCTGCATATAGTGAACACTACCAATTTCAAGTGCTGCTAAGAATCAACTTAAGCGTTTGGAGTTGCGCGAGCGGGTGAGAATGGTGAGTGCGCTTTATGGAGTAGATAGGGTGAGAAGCAGGAGTTGGCGCGATGGCGTTTAAAACCTGCCGTACATCGGGATAAAAAGGCTACGTAATAGGAAATTTTTAATATATACATCGGGGGCGGGGGACAAAGCGGAAATATTATGTTTCACATAGGCCATACAACATAGTTGTATAACCCATATTACATCGGATTTGATTGGCTCATTTCAAGATCTTACTTGGCCCAAAATTATCTTAGACTAAGATGTGGGAAAAAAATACAGCTAATTTTGTTAAACCATAACAAAAATCTCGGTTCCCATTTAGGGCCTAGGGGATACCGACTTATCGGGATACCCTATAATAAAATGTGTATATACAGTGGTGTTCCATGAGTATTTGACCTTGGGTACTTCGGCCGTGGGCCCACTTTGTAGGCCCACTTTTAATATTGCCAGACAGAAACCTCGAAAATTCAATCCAATTTAATAGCTAGTATGCCAACCTTCATATTTAATAACATCAGCAACTCTATGAGGCATAGTATCAGATAGATGCTTAAACATCTCAATATCTAGCCCCTCCCAAGCTTCCTGGGCAGCGTCGACTAGTAGATCAAGCGTAGTTTCGTTATTTGGGAGCTGTATTAGCTCAGGGTGTCGCTTCAGTATTTCGGCCTTTAGGAGCGCCCATAGGTTCTCAATTGGATTCAAATCGGGCGAATAGGGAGGCCACTCCATAATATCACATCCAAGCTCATTAAGAGTCCCCTGAATGATATAGGCAGTGTGTACCGGTGCGTTATCTTGTTGAAAAATAGCATCTTGATCAATACTATTAAGAAGTGTTGGAAGAACACGCCGGTAAAGCTCTTCAATAGTCCGAGATGAAACACCACCGCGGCGAGACTGAGGATCACCAAATAATGGAATTAAACCAGAGCGTCGCGGAAGACCAGAAAAGGCAGCCCAAAACATCTGTTTAATCTGTTTTCCACGGGTTGGTATCATTTGGACTTGATGGCCCTCTTCTTCGTGCTCCCAAAGCTGGTCCTTTGGACGGGTAAATGTCCATTCTCGACGCTGACCGATACCACGTTCAATAGTACACTCATCAGACCAATACACACGGGCCCAATCCTCAGAAGTGAAGTGCTCATATCTTCGCGCCCAAGTAAGGCGTTTTTCAGCAGATAGAGGTGTTAAAGTAGGCCGTTGCATTTTCCGCCACTTTCGAAGGCCCATTTCATGGGTCAGCCGCCAAATTGAGGTACGTTTAACCTTATAATCGACCTCTGCGAGTAGGTCTGCGACTAAGATTGACGGGTTTTGTTGTATAGTCTCATATATATGGTCACGGTCGTCTTCAGTAAGCTTCCTTGGCCCCCCTGAGCGTGCTAAAGACTGTTGCTTTTGACGCTTTGACTCTTGAGTAAGAGTATACTGAATAGTTGAGCGTGGAATATCTGGAAATCGCTTCTTTTTTATAGTTGTTGCACCCCAACCATTGGTACTATGCAGTTCACAGATCTTAGCTCTAGTAAGACAGTCAAGCTCTGGGCCTCTTTTCCCACGTATAGGAGGCATGTTTTAGTATATAGAATAAGAAAACAGTGCGAAAATCTCTTCAAAACGCGTTAATATACAGCGCATATGCTAGCGTGTTTAGGACGCGCGAGATTTAATATACTAATACAGTAGGCGGTCTAGAATGGCGGTCAGATCCTAAGGTGGGACCCGAAGTACCCAAGGTCAAATACTCATGGAACACCACTGTATACTATCGTCTTCAGATTAGGTTCATCGGGCATTCCTTTTTTACTGATCCAAACAAATCCGGATGTGACTCTTCCATCCATTATACCCTCGGCATCGAATTACAGGCTCGTACAAAGCTGAGGGAACCTAACATTTGTGTGTTCCGATTCGAGCCGAGTAGTACTCAAGGGAATTTAGAACAATCTCGGTTCACAATTGTGGGAAAAAATACGGTCAATTTTACCACTAGACAATAACAAAGACCTCGGTTCCCATTTACGGTCTAGGGGGGGGCATATCCCAGTCTAACATAGGAACACGATCCTATCACGTAGGTTACATCCATATATACCCATGTTCATTGACTAGGGGCCATAGGATAGGGAAGACGGGACAGGGGTTGTAGGAGAGGGGTGATATAAAATCGTTATTTCCCAGTCTTTTTTTTTCTGTTTTATTTTCTTACTCAGTTCTCACTCTACTATACTTCATAATGAGTGAATTACCTGATTATGTACTTGATCCCGATGCTGTCCTTAAAGACATCAGTGCGGCCTGGCGCCATGGCAATCCTCCGGATTACTCCAAGACAAGAGCCTTTTATGAAAAAAGTATCTCCCTCCTGTTCCTAGTCATATGAATTCCATTACTTACATTATACAGCTAAGACAAAGACCCACGAACCCAACAGTCTCCCTTTCCTGGTTGAAAATCTCGTGAAGAACTGGGAAATCGAAGCCTCCTTCAAGACGAACCTATCCGAATGGCGTACCATAGATCCCGACGTATACACAGTTTCCGTGAACGGTGGTGAACGACGAACAGGTCACCATATGTTAGAAGTGGGGACTTATAATGCTCTCCTGACTGCGAGTCAGTATTATGATCCTGCACACAACAATTTCAACGATTCGCACAAGTCGTTTAAGCGGATGATGCCAACGTTTGCTTGGGAGGTACTTGAAGTATACTCCGGACCTCCCGTTGTTGCCTTTCGGTGGAGACATTGGGGTGAGATGAAGCATGATTATGTGGGATACAATAGGTATCTGATCACCACTATCTATTATTGTTTGGTTTTATGCTTACAATCCTAGCTCCGGTGAACAGGTCAAAGTTCAGGCGCACGGTGGCCCGATTGATATTGAAGGACTTACAGTGGCCAAGGTCAATGATAAACTACAGGTGCTGAGTCTTGATATCTGGTATGACCCTATGGCAATGTTTCGTCAAATCAGCGGCGAGGGCCAGATTAGCAGCGGGAGTAGTGGTGGTGGGTGTCCGTTTGTACAGGGTTAACAACTTACCCAAATGTGACTAGCTATAGACATTCCACTGTAATTAAGCTAAGAAGTGTCATCGAAAGCACTGATTTATAAGCTATACGCTAGCTACCATGTATAGTTTTCCCGTTTCCGCACCAGAGGCACAAATAATTGTCGCGGAATAGTGCAGAATAGGACGGGAAGCCCTGTTTTCCATACCCTATGTCGTATATATTATGTTGAGTGTGGGAGGGAATTATGAGGTAAATTATGGAGTTTCTTGTTACTTGTCTTGCTAATGTATTGTGATCATGAATCCGAAACAGCTATTCTTTCAAGATTTCCAAGAGCCTTCTGCCCCATGATCTTTTTATTGTCTTGTCCGAATCTTCAGAAGACCATGTCAGTCTGTCTGGGAAGTGAATTTGATCCAATGATACCCTAAAGAAAAAATTCGAATGTGAGTATCGACTGTTATTTTGATATGAAGTGGGAATGACTGACCATTTACTCTTGAACCACCATTTGTACCCAATGAACATCAGGAGAAACACCGGAATACTAATATAAGAAGCGATAAATGACTTATAGTTGAAAGGCGCCTCGAATACTGTGAAACCTTGAATCAAGAGCAGGAAAATATTGAAAAAGAAGTTGCCCCAGTAGATCGAAATATGACCCGGCGCTTTAAAGGGGAATTCTTTGGCGTCAATACCTTGCTTCTTTGCGGCAGCGCGGACCCTAAGCTGGGCAAATGTGATAGCAGCCCATGCGATATAGGCTGCTGTGCCGCCGAAAGAGGTGAAATAGGAAAAGAGGCTTCCAGCTGTTGTTTGCAAGGACATCAGACCCAAGAAGCCCCACATATTTGAGAAGATGATTGCCGGGTATGGGACTGTACACGGTATCAGCTTCTATCAGAGGGAGGATAAAATGACAAAATTAGCTGACCTCCCCTAGCATTTGTTATTGCGAAGAATGAGGGCGCTTTCCGTTTCAGAGCGAGAGAGTAAAGCGTTCGTGATTGGATGTAAACTACTCCATTCGCGGCGGAAATGAAGGCGATGAGGATTATGGCGTTGACGAAATGCCCGGAGGACTTCCACCCAGCAAGCCTGAAGCCAATAGTAAACGGAGACGATGCCGTTTTAGAGGCTGGATGCACCAGATCATCCGATGTTGAGGGACAGATCAGGCCTTGGAAAAATGACATTCCAATAAAGACGAACAGGATACGATATAGGATAGAATTGGTGGCCTAAACAAAAATTAGCGTCAAACCTACGTCAAAGGACACATTTTTACCCGATATACTCACACGAGGAACGTCGCGTTGGGGGTTTTTAGACTCGCCCGCGGCGACAGAGACAATTTCGGTTCCAACGTAGTATGCGGCTGCCAGAACAAATACTTGACCGAATCCATTAATTCCATTTCGGATTGGACCTAACATAATGTCAGACTCGTGAGTCAATTCCCTTGGGATTTATAAAAATGTAGGAATACTGACCATATGGTTCTTTCCAGTATCTGAATCCGACATACCCATTTCCGAACGCCCCAGTATCGGCAAGAATCGAAATGAAGAATAGCACGATCAGTGACAGGAACTTGAACATGCCAAAGTAGTATTCAGTCTCCCCATAGAAATTCACCCCAAGGGTTGTTAAAATCGAGAAGAAGACGAAGAACAAGATGTACCAAGCCCAGACGGGGATAATGGTATCGGGAATCCAGAATCCAAGGAAGACCGTGGCGTTATTCCAATCTTTGGAACTTGATTAGTGTGAAGACCATTTCTTGCTTGTTGATGACACTCACCCGATGCTAGAAATACACTCCACATAAAATAATACAGCCAAGATACTGCAAAGCTGAAGGCTGGATCCACGAATCGATCACAGTGCTATATAAAGGAGGTTAGCAGGATACTCAAAACGGCTGAGATTAACATTAGCTGATATTTCATATACCTCAACAAAGCCACCATGAACTGGAAACAGTGTAGCAATCTCTCCAACACTTTGCATTAAAATCCACACTGAGATTCCTATAGATTTTGTCAACCTGGTGAAAAACATTTGGATGTATTTATGATGGGAAACAACTCACCGACAATAGAAAAGCCAATCAAGAGCCCCAGCGGGCCAGCTTCGTAGATTCCATAGCCTAAACCATAAAAGCAACCTGGACCGATAATACTACCTAGGGCGATGATCATAAATTGACGACCCTTAAGCCCCCTTCGTAGGCCATCCTCGATCACGTCACCAGAAATATCACGATGGGGTTCATCGCTTTCTTGCACTTCGGCAATAACGGATGCTTGTTTCGACACATTGGTTTTTGTTTTAACTGGAGATGATAAGTCGGCCATCTTGACAGACAATGATTGAACCTTGCAAAATACCAACGTGTTGACCGGGGTGTCCGTTTTATAGCCTCAGAATCCCCAGCGGATAGATTGGAGCATTAGCCGAGCACTCCAGCTAACTCATCTGCATCGCTTGAATAGGATGCTAAGCATGCTAAGCTAAAGTGAACAATTGCTTGTCATAGGTCACTTATCCCGTTTGGGGAGTCCTAATATCCTTATATATCACGCCATTGAGGAGTGGAATTTGTTGGAGATAGATGCCGCAAGGCAGCAAAAGTGTGTGCTCTGCTCCTAAATTCCCAAAATCTTTCCCCAGGACATACCCCATTAAAAGACGAAGAGAAAAACAGAAAATCCATCACCAACATGCAGGATCGTGGTTTGCTAGAGTTCGGAAATTTGTCAATTATCACAAATGCCGACATGTTCAGGCCCCTGTCAACGCAATTAGCGTCATCAAACACGAGAATGACGACCTCGGTAGATTATTGACGCCATATAGGCTTACTAGAAGATATGAATCTGGATCCTCATTCTAATTCTCGCCCTTTAAACCATGCAGCCGTTGAACCTTTCCCCGGGCCTTTATATTTCTCAAGAATTTCCCGTGATTGCTCTTCACTCCAAATCCAGTATGTTTGATAAAGGATTGGAGATGGTATAGACGTCCGATCTAAAGTTCTAAAATGGTATGAAATCGCAGACGGAAGGATAGAAGGGATTCGCAACTAATATAAACATTATAGTACTTAGCCAATTTTCGGTGGCATGAGAAAACGGCATCTGCCCGTAGATTAGCCTGTATTAAGACTCTGAGCACCAACATCCATACCAAAAGTCCATAGCAAACAAATCAGGAAAACTCCTGGAGTTTACAAATCATTAATTGCCATCATTCATGGGGAAATTGTAAAATTCCATCCTTCAGAGTCAGTACCGTTCAGCGGCTCCCCAGCTCCGCTCATCAGCACATCAAAGAAGGCCGTATCAAGGCCTTGGAAAAGCCAGTCCTCCATGCCAGCAGAAGCATCCGGGAATGCCTCTTCTGGAAGTGCAAAAATTTCTCTAGACGTGGCCTGGGCAACCTGTCCTCCGTGCTTCCGTGCTGATAATGTCTCCACTGCCTGTGCGGTTCCTTGTGAGGCTGCAGTATCGGGTGTGACCAGGCCGGTAGATGTATGATGGTCGGAGACTTGTGGTGTTCTGACATGGATGGATCCAAAGCCACCAATTGTCACACCCTCATGGAGAACTTGCTCCTGCTCTGCTTCAATGGGCGTAATAGAAATACCATCTCGCGAAATTCTGATGGCACCAACGTACGGTACCTTCACTACCAAGAAGTTTTGGTCGTTTTCTTGGCCGAAATCCGAGTGGCCCTGTGTAGGACCCGCTTCAATATCCAACAAATTCTTAAGAAGGGTAGCACATTTCGCTGTGAGGACATCCTCATGCAGCTCCGACATGGATTCCATACACTCAAGAGCTCGTTCCACCGTCACCCGATCTCCAATTCGGTGATGTATGAGGAGGTTTTCCGTGCCCTTGTTACAGTGGCTCAAAATGTGAGCCAGCATCAGTGTCATACCAGCAATCAGAGCTATAAAATCGCCCATCCGACAGCCGGCCGTGACTGGGTTGAACGTACGGATCGCAATCTGTCTGCTCAAGATTTCACGGCTGGCGTTTGCGCAGGCGATTCTCGAGTACACCCTCTGCGAGGCATGCCTTGGGTTTAGCATATATGGCAGATGTAGCTGGTTCACCAAAGAGTAATAAAATACATGGTCCCAAGCTCGTCGAGTTTCCCAGAAGGCCTCCGCCGAGTCTACCTTGAGATCCGTAAATTGTAATGGCCGCCAGAACGCAGGCGGCCATTGCTCAATGCCCTTCAGCAGTTCTTGATCTAGCTCTTGAGTCATGTCAAGTGCTTCTTGGGGTGAGTGCATCTGATTGCGTTCGATAATTTTGGGTACCATATCCGGAATGAGTATGGGCAAGTTGCCGCTCTCAACTCTAGGGATTGCGAAACTCACACCGCTGGTGCTTGTGGGTAGACCCAGTAGCAAGCACAGAAATTGTTCCGTGGAAACCACACAGGCCCACATGGCCGCAGGATCAAGATCGCTCTGCGGGTTGACGACTTTGAAGCGATAGTGGCCTGGTCGATGCAAACCCAATAGCTGTGCTGTCATGACAGCACGGCGCATTGTGATCCAGGATCGTCGGATGTTGCCGCGATCTATGTGATAGAAGCCTTCAAGGATAAGATTCTCGAGAGCTTCCAATGTCCCAAGCAAGACGTCATTCGTATTCACCAGCCTAATGGCTGAGTCTGCTAGCTGCTCCATGATAGCGCGATGATGCTTTGTGAGGCCAGGTATAGCTTTTGTGGGAGACAGGTGTTGTAACCCTACTACGAAAAGCAGCATTTGCCTTGCCAACAACACTGGGTGGCTTTCGGAATATAGGAGACTGGCTGTTGGTATTTGTTCTTCGGCTTTTTCGCTTGGCCACGAGCTGCATAGCTCGAAGCTAGATTTGTAGCAGAATATTGACATGCTGCTGAGGCTTTCAAGGAGGATTTCAATATCTTTCCGAGGAGGGAGAGAACTTCGTAGGGCTTGAGTGATGCTGGGATATGCGGAAACCTCCGAAATGGAGCCATTACTAGACACTGGCGCTGGTGGCAACTGAGGTGCCCGGAGTTGGCTTGATGATTCCCGAGTCTGTAGGCGACTAGATACATTCCTTTCCTTTATTATGTCATTAATATATGGCCGCGTACCTAGGTATGTGAAGATGCTGACTAACTTTGCCATGCACTGACGATGCCAGCGTTGGGTGTATTGAAAAGGGAGTCGGTGGTGAACATCCAACAGTGGCATCTCGTTGAGAACGGACACTATTATCACCCACCAGCCGTGTATTAACAGCACCGTCTTGCTTAGCATCCCCTGTGTCGCTCTCAGCCATTTCCGGTCTGTCCAAGTCCACTTGACTGGTGCATTTCGTGCCTCGACGATGGCAATTGATGCAGATCGCATCATCATCATCTAGCGATGGAAAAGTACACTTGACCTTTCTCTGTCTACACTCCCAGCAGCTGTGTGTACCTTTGCGAACCTTTCTGCGCTTCGGTGCGGGTTCGTCCGAGGGAGCCATCATTCGGTGCGTACGCTGCCACAAGCTGCAACCGTGGCAAGTGAGACTAGCCTTTGACCGAGTGAAAAATTGTGAAAATACGCCACCAAAAAGTTTGGACCGAGATGATTAGTACTGGAGATGTCCGACGCGCTTCTCGTTGTGGTTGTGATGACCCGAGGTGCCCTTCCTCCCTGCTGACAAACAGACAATCGTCCGAACCGCTCTTCGGACGATTCAGCCGAGATATGCGCACGCTTGAGGGAACATCCAACTCGCAAAAAGAGCAAATTTGCTCTGCTGTACGCGGTACCTCAATAATTTTATTCCTGTAAAGGATTTTGACTTTTCATCCTTCAGACTAATACAATGTATGAATACTAATGACCGGATACATCTCCTTCCGGGCATTCTAGAAAAAGATTGAACTGGGCCGAGTTTGATTCGGCCGAGCTAGTGATACACCTTGTCTAGCTCGGAGATGTGGCATGTATGCCTGGGTTTGTTTTTTGTGGCTAGAGTCCGTCCGCAACCTATATAAACAGACTATTTCTATCATAATGTGGAAAGGGGCAAGCTTCAATCTTGTCATATCACCGTTTTGCAAACTTGTTCAACAATGGACAAACAAGCCGTCAGCTCAGAGAAACAGGCGATAGCCAGAGATCCTCCACAGGCTTCGTCTACCCTTGAGCCAGGTCCAGAGTCAGTCGGCATTCATGTCGCCAACGACTCCGCAAAAGCTCATGCAACTGATGAATATCCGCATGGTGCCCGCCTGGCTGCTGTTGTGCTTTCACTCATGCTGGGCATGTTTTTGGTAGCACTTGATAACGTCAGTCCCCCGTTTCGTGATGCGCCTCACAGCTAACCAATGCTACCAACAGACAATCCTCGGCACGGCTATTCCCAAGATAACGGACGAATTCCATGACCTAAACAAAGTGTCGTGGTACGGGTCAGCCTATTTGATGACATATGGCTGTGGTTAGTTATATAAACACATTTGTTTCTAGACGGCATGTTAACCTTTTACGCAGAGCGCCTCCTTTCTTCCCATCTACTAATGCTCGGTTACTTGGTCTTAAAATCTACCACATTACGGAATCGCTAATTATTATAGCCTTCCAATCAACCTGGGGAAAGTTTTTCAAGTACTTTCCGATCAAACTTTGGTTTCTTGTTGCCGTATTCATTTTTGAAGTGGGAAGCCTTATCTGCGCCGTGGCTCAAGGCCCTACAACTCTTATAGTCGGCAGAGCTATTGCTGGATTCGGCGGAGCTGGAGTTGGCGTTGGAGTTTTCACGATTATTGGGTTCGCTGCACCTCCTGAGAAACGTCCACAACTTTTGGGCTTTACTGGAGCAACCTATGGCATTGCCGCGGTCTTGGGACCACTTATTGGCGGCGCTTTCACTGACAAAGTGTCATGGCGCTGGGTAAGATGAGAGACATTGAAAATTAGTGTTATAACTGACCACTGAATAGTGCTTCTACGTCAACCTGCCCATCGGGGGGCTTGCTGCCGGACTGATCTTCTTGCTCTTCAAGACCCCAGTTAGCGCAGCCCCGGCAAAGGCTACACCTAAAGAGAAGCTCTTGCAAATGGACCTCGTCGGTGCAGCTCTTATGATGGGATTGATTGTTTCATTTATCCTTGCTCTGCAGTATGGGGGCCAAACACATTCCTGGCACAGCAGCCAGGTTATAGGACTGCTGGTCGGCTTTTTTATGCTTGTTCTGGTCTTTGTAGCTTGGGAAATTTTCCAGAAGGAACGTGCAATGATTGTTCCACGTCTCGTAAGCCATGATGCAAGTCCAACCCTACCCTAATATGAACTAATTGCGAAAATGGCCGCAGTTTATGAAGCCCTACATTTCCGTAGGCTCCATATTCATGTTCTTCTTCGGCGGCGCCTACTTCATCATCCTTTATTATCTTCCGATCTATTTCCAGAGCGTCTATAACAACAGTCCAATCGGATCTGGTGTCAAAATGCTCGCATTCATCATCCCGCTAACCATCGCTGCCATCGTACAAGGATTCGCGCTATCCAAAATCCGCATTGTACCTCTGTTCTGGATTATAGGTGGCGCATTGGGAACCATCGGCTGTGGTCTATTCTATACTTTTGGTACTGAAACATCTACTGGCAAGTGGATTGGGTATCAGATTATTGTTGGCTTCAGCACGGGCTGGTCATTCCAGACTGCCATTTCAAACGCTCAAGTCCACGCTTCACCGGAGGACATGTCGCAAGCTACAGCTATCGTCAATTGTGAGTCCTTAACCTACTGTACCTTTCATGGGTTGTCTCCTAACAGTAATGCCAGACTTTATGACCGTTGGTGGAGCTTTCTTTCTCGCAGCAGCACAGTGCGCCTTCAACAATCAGTTGATTCAAACAATTAGCATAAAACTCCCCGAGATCGACCCAGCAGTAGTTACTGCGACTGGTGCAACTCAAATCCGTGAAGCTTTTACGGGCTCACAAGTTTCCGTCATCGTCGATGCCTACATGGTTGGTCTGAAAGCTGTGTTTGCAATTACTATTGCCGCCTTTGGTATTGCCACCGTCATTGGTTTCTTTGGTAGCTGGAAGAAGCTCCACAGTGATGAGCTGAAGAAGGCGACTGGTGGCGCTGCATGATCGTCTGCAGATTGTTGGCGTGTCTGAATAGGAGTCAGCATCTCGGTGGAGTATTTAAAACGATAGGCGACCACTAGAATGAGTTGCATTTCGCGACTCAGGTTGCCGGGTTTAGAGGCCTGGAGTTGCCTATTGCTTGGTGTACAGACTTTTGTCGCAGTGGGTGTATTAGATTTATTTTATATAGGACCTTTAATAAGCGCTACCGCGTACCCTCTTTTATATTGGAGCGAATATTATCACACAATCTGGACGAATCAATTATTTCCAAACCAACTTCGTTAGTATCACTTGTCCTGCTAGTATGCGAAGGTTGATGCGTCTCGAGTTGCAGGTGTACAAGGGGGGTTAATTTAGGCGGGGAATGACTAGGGTAATGGCGGGGAACAGTATTGCATAGATTATGAACAAGTAATCAGGTCCTATCATGAAAAGGCTACATTCCTTCTCTTTGTTTGCTTTTTCTCTAACATTAAGTATTCATTCCATTTTGACTGGATACTTTAAGCAGCATTGAGTGTTAGCTTTTCGGTATAGAATCGCGGAAATCCCTGATATGAAGGACACGCGTGTTGAGTATCATTTCCGCTACGAAGGTTGTGGATACTGGTAAATCAACCGCCATGTACTTTTTGCTTATCATGGAGAGTCCCGAAATAATTCACAGTGTGTTTCATTGTTTATCCACACTAGAAGCTAGAACACAAAGTATGATTTCCACTGGGTTGAGACACCACCAATCCTTACCCCTGCACATCGGGTTCCTCTTCTCAAAACGACCAAATTTCAGCCGAGGTATATCGTTCCTCGGCCTAGATTAAAGTCCGACACTAACCTTCCTAGGTCTAGTCGGCTTCGATGATACATTAGCAGTGTGAGCGTTAAATAGTACGAAATCCATCCGTTTTGTGAATATGAGGGTTCTGTGGAAGTCTTTTTCAGGAGGTGCGACAGACCTATGATGCAGTTATCACCGCATTTTCATGGCCGTGCGCGTTTGATTGGAGAGAAACAATTGTGGTGGTATTCCAAGGTTCTGTTCGTGGATTAGATTTAGGTAATAGCTTAAGAAAAGCGCATATAAAGTTGATGCCTAAAAGTTAATATACAAACCAACCATCATTTTCATAATCCAATTTCTATATTATTCAGTTATTTTGAGTATATAATACATTGAGGTAGTCAGTACTATTTCGGTCGCTGCATCTCATATTCAACGTGAACCTCATCTGTGCGCCGTATTTGATATTGCTCCAGGTCATTTAGAATACTTTCCTGGCTCTCCCTTTTGTGCAATGGAGTTGTTCTGTCTTTTTTTGACACGTGAGCCTGTGAGCTCAATTGATTGTCGTATACCTTGTGCTGTGCATAAGATGATGGCTTGGAGTGACCCTTGGATGTCGAAACGAGTTTCAGTTTTCTCAGAATAAGTTCGAGGATCGGTTGTAATGTTGGTATACATGCAGCAATGACAACGACATTGGCTTCGACACTAGGGGTTTGTTAGTATCATACCAACGTGTTTGGAAGATGCAATGTCTTACTTGGTCCAAACCACAAGAGATACAGTGCTAACTAATTCACGAAGCAGCATTAGTATTTGAAAGCAGGTCATGATCAAACCCAGGAAGGAGAACAAACATGTTGGATCTGTCTGGTCAGCCAGACCTTTGATCTGGGCGCATTTGACCATTGCAGTTGCAGCCGCACTGGGATTGACCGTACGTGTTAGCTTTAGGTCACTTGAAGAGATCGATTGCCAGATTTCCATACATTGCACCCAGACCAAGCGCAGTCGTCAAAGCAATCTTCTTGCGCAATGACATTTGAAGTTTGAATAGAACGAATCCAGGGTAAATTGCGAGGAAAAGGTCTACAAATGCGGAGAAAGCTGTCCATACAAGGGGGTTATCAGTCACTGTCACGAGAATAACGAGACCTATCGAGCACCGCTCACCTCCATTAAATGTGGCATAGTTTATAAGAATCCAGATATTCCTGCATTTCGCCTCCCCGCTCAATACCATCGAGGTCTTCCAAAGTGCTTGCTGGGGATCACACATGGTAACATAGATCATGATGTTGACAAGGGCAATGACAGCAATCAAGCTGACAAGACCCCACACTATGATGCGTTCTGTGAGGTTTGGGTTCAATATCCGGTGGAGCAGTGCGGCAACCGCAAGCTTTGGTATTGCGAAGGATATAATTCCGAAAATGAACGAGATCATATTCCACATGAGGGCCAGCTCAGCGGACCTAGGTTCAAGATTCATCTTGTGTTGTCCATATCCATAAGTCACTGAGACTGTCGTAGTTGCAACGTAAATTAGACCGAATATCTGAAGCAGTTGCAGATGTCAGAAATACTGGTCCAGGATATACGATATGCAAAACAGATGGGATAATCACCATAGATGCTCCGATCAACCAGTCATCAAACCCGAAGTTTCGTAACATTCGCTGCCGAACACATAGACGAGCAATAACGAGAAACGTGGCAAGAGTTGTCATTGACCACATCACCGCCATCATTTCCGGGCCTTTATTGCCCGTTTTGGGGGCATCTGTGATCGAACCCGCCATACCGGGCGATGGTCTATCTCAAGATCCGAATCACCATTGACAATTGCAGTGTCTAAAATCTTTATAAGATCCAAAGGACCCGAGGATATTTTAAGTGGCAAAAAGAAAATCCGAAACAAAGGGATTATCCCGTTCAGGGATCATTTTATTGTTATATTGTATGTGAGAACAGGTCCACCTTTTCTTCTTAAGTGTTGACAATATAGATATTTTATTGGTCTACTCTAGCGTACCTTTACGTGGCACAATGCATTATTGACAGGCATTACAATCCTTTGAGGCCTCCCCCCGATCGCCGATGTAACAGCACGTAGTTTTAGCGTGCTGATCCCAGCACCTCATGCACATTTCTGTCCTATATCGTGGACCCACAAGCACTAATTGCTAGACATGGGATGATCATTCCCGATTATTGACCAATAGGCGATTTAGTCGGATTGGCTCCATTTCTTCGCCCCCTTCCGAACGGCACCGAATAAATGAAAGAATACGAAGTACAATAAACACATAACGGAATAACCCTTTTATAGCATTAGTCTGCAGCAGTTTGTCTCATTATTAACTAGGCATGAGATGCTATCAGGTTTTTGGTGCTCCATAGTGGAACCCATGCTCAAACGATCGCAATCGCTTAAGATGGATCGCAATCCCCCTTATATAGCCGGATGTTGGAGATAGTCCATATTTCAGTTCTAATTTTGCCATTTCATCTCCGTGAAAGGTGTTTCAAGTTCACAAACTTTCAAAATGGCAGTCACCAATGTATCAAACGGATCTGCAACTAATGGCCATGGTGCAGCCGTTATTGATCCTCAGGTTGCTACTGCACCCAGTGCCCCTGAGAAACTTGCGCATTTGCAAAAGGAAATTGAATCTCATTCCCAGGCTTACAGCAATGGCGATCATGGTGCGCGCCTGAAGCTTCTGGAGACAGCCCGGTCTCTCGTGCAGGCAATGGAAACACCCCAGGAGACCATGCTGCGATACTGCTGGGCCCAGGTGCGTCAGAGCAATGCAGACTTTAGTTCAGGGATTGAAAATGCTTATTTTCGTTGTTTATTTGTGATAGCCCACAGCGTTTGCCGGCATTGAAACTTGTATCGATCTAGGAATCTTCTTCATATTAGCACAGACGGACAAGCCGAAGACTGTGGCAGAGCTCGCAGCAACAACCGGCGCGGAACCCGAACTTCTAGGTCAGTGACAACTTCCAAAGTTAGATAATCATGACGCTCATCATTGCGAAGGTCGTATCATGAAGCATCTCGCCACAATGGGGGTCTTTGTTGAGACTGGTATGGATGAGTATGGCCGCAACGGGCTAACCACCACACTCGCTATTAAGCGGTACAGTGATGCATGGCCGTGCATGTAAGTAGTTTCACCAGTGGATGTTCTCTTCGCCAGATTGGTCTACTGACTCTTCTTTTTCTCGCCGGCAGTAATGGATGCACTCTTCCAGCAATCAATGCACTACCCGCCTGGCTCAAGAAGAACGATTATCGGAGTCCCACCGAAGGAACAGACTGTCCATTTACCTTAGGATTCAAAACTGACGAGCACTTCTTCAAATTCCTCACCGGCAAGAACCCCGACTATCCTGAACTCGGCGCTCAATTCAACAATCTCATGTCGGCCTATCACCAAGGTAGACCCAGCTGGATGGATGGGAACTTCTACCCGGTACAAACTCTCATCGACGGAGCAAAGACGGGCGAAGAAGACGTTTTCATCGTGGACGTTGGCGGAAACAAAGGGCATGATCTGGAGGAGTTCATCTCGAAGTGGCCAAACACACCCGGAAAGTTGATCCTGCAAGATCAACCACACGTCTTGGGAGATATCAAGTCGTTAAATGCAGCAATTAAGCCCATGGTCCACGACTTTTACCAGGAACAACCCATCAAGGGTGAGTGGATTGACGCACATCACATCGAACATTAACCAATAGCTGACATACGTCTACTTAGGCGCGCGAGTATATTTCTTGCATTCCGTCCTGCATGACTGGAATGACGAGACATGTCAAAAAATCCTGTCACAATTAGTTGCTGCGATGACACCGGGATACAGCAAGTTGCTGATCAACGAGAATGTCATTCCTAATACCGGGGCCCACTGGCAGGCTACCTCTCTGGACTTGATAATGATGGTAGATCTTGCTGCCAAGGAACGGACTGAACAGCAGTGGCACCAAGTTATTGAGCCAGTTGGTCTCAAAATTACTAAAATCTGGACGCCGCTGGATAGTGCCGAGAGCTTGATCGAATGCGAGTTAGCTTGAAAGTAGTTTACAGGAAGAACCCTGGGAGAACCTAGGATCGACAAATTATCAATTTATACAAATTAGGGCAACTTATTTCCCTACAGTAATGGGTTACCCATCTAGGCAGTATGAACCATACCATTATGTAAATCCAAAGGCTGTACCTCCCGAGGTCAGGAGCACTCGAATCCAGGGCAAGATATAATGTGGATGCCAAATGAAGATGTATATATTATCTGAGTTGATTCATTGGTAAAAACCCTGGAACAACCTCGGAAGTGTGTTCTCGTTACATAAGAAGTGCATAGGAGCACACACTTTTTCCCTCATGGAAGAGACAGCGGGGGGAGAAGGGAACTTTTAGGGTTTGGGGGTACCCACTGAACGGGTGAACACGCCAGCTTCCGCCCCTTCCCACCCCACTGGCCCCTCTGTTTGTTTCGACCTCACACAGCCCAACAAACTTTTAATATCGATATTTAATATCGATATAGATTGTCTCGGAAAAGTGGGCTTGGGGACATTTTCACATGGATAGCGTTTCTTTCGCAAGCTTTGGCTTGGTGGTGCTTGACGAGATTCGTTTTCCCAACCGGAAACCTTTAACCAATGTATTAGGAGGATCCGGAGCTTATGGTTAGTTTTGCCTGTATTACATCAAGCAGTCAAGCAACCAGATTTCTAATTAACCTATTTCTTCTAGCAACCCTCGGTGCTCGGTTATTTCTACCCTCGCCGCTCAGCCGCTCCTTGGCTTGGCCGATCCATGTTGGAAATGACTTTCCAGAGGTTATTGCAGAACACTTGCGTGGCTGGGATACAAGCCTACTTATAGAAAAGGAATCAGATAAGCCCTCGACCCGAGGCTTACTGGAGTACCAAGATACTACATTTGGACGTGCGAAATCCTTTTTAACTTACCCTTCTACCCCGACCACCTTTTTATGAATCGAGATCCTTCCTCACCGAACCAGCACGGGAAACATATTGAAATGAGCTAACTTGTCTTCTAGCCAAGAGTTTCAAGTACACCACGCCGGTTCTGGCAGTTCAAGAAAGCAAGTTACAGAACACTGCCTTGCTGACTTCGAAGGTGTATCATTATCTTGCGAGTCCCCAAGATATGAAAATGCGCGTTCTAAATCTTCTCGCTCTTCGAGAGCAGGAGGGTATACTAAATCAACCTTTGATAATCTGGGAGCCGGCCCCTCTTTCATGCAAACCGGAGAACCTCGAAGCCTGTCTAGAAACCGCCGCTTTAGTCGACGTGTTTACTCCGAATCACTTAGAGCTGGCTGCATTGTTTGAACAATCCCCAGTTGCATCATCCAATAGATCTGAGATCGAAAAGCTGGGCTCGAAGCTCCTAGCTAGTGGAGTCGGTCCAGAAGGAAAAGGCACGGTGGTTATTCGAGCTGGTGAAAACGGTTGCTTCGTCCAATCGCGTAACATCACCTCTCGATGGCTACCTCCATTTTACACGGCAGATATGGCAGAAGAGCAGGCTTCCAAAGTGGTTGATCCGACTGGAGCTGGAAATGCATTCCTGGGAGGATACGCCATTGGATATCTCCAAAGAATGGGGAATATCCTTGAAGCAGCTTGTTATGGATCCGTTGCAGCTTCGTTTGCATTGGAGCAGGTAGGGATGCCGGAGAAGAGCAACGAAGGAGATGAGGAATTATGGAATGGGGCCAGTGTTAGTCTAAGATTGCATCAATATATGGCTAGGCAAGAATTGTTGCAATAGGTGACTATTCGTTGTAGAAAAGCCAATCGGCAGGACTGGAAACGTTCCTTGTTGGGTCTTCATGTAAATGATCTATATTAGATACCGGTTATGATGCAACAAGTCTATTCGATTTCCCCTCTTTCTTTTATTTGTCCAAGGGACAAGAGCGTGAAGCATATCAGTACAATAAGTTACACATTGACAGGGGGAAGTAACAGGAAGAACACATAGGAGCGCAGACCGGGGAATGGATATGCTGAAAGATCACGGAGGGGAAAATGCATCAAAGGCAAAATGGGAGATGGAGAGATAGCAGAAAGGTCTATATAATACACAACTCCAATCCCAGTCCCTGATGTGCATTACAAAGGATGTCAAGTAGTAGGCTTGTCTCTAGGGGAGGGTGGCGTCAAACAGGATGCAGGGATTCAAGAGGTCAGCTCTAAGCCTTGTTGGCCTCGTTCTTCTCCTCGGCGTCATGCGCAGCCTTGGGGATGAGGGAATCGCCCTCGGGGTTCTCGCCTGCAGCAGCGGTTTCGGCCTTCACCTGGGCGTGGACATCCTTGGCACGGGTCTGCTTCTCAGTGGGGTGCGAAGACGCATCTACCTCGGCGGCAGTGGAGGTAACTTCGGGGGTAGCGGGGGCTTCGGAGGGGGCGGGAGCATCGGACTGAGGTTGGGGCTCATCGTCATCCTCCAGCTCGGCGCCGTAGACTTCGGGGTGTTGGCGGAAGCAATCTTGCATTGCCCTGCAAAAAATTGTTAGCACGGGACCATCACCCTCGAAAACAATAGAAAACATACTTGAACTTATCAACGCAGTCGATACCCTTGGGCTCTTCCTCGGAGTAGACAAAGCAGCTGAACGCAGCCTTGAAGTCCTCTCCGCAAGGCCCATGGGCCATGCCTCCAAGACAAGGGCAGTCCCAGTTGATCTCGCCGGTCTCCGGGTTGAACGCAGCCTCTTGGCCAGCCTCCTCCTGGAGCTCCTGGGGGTTCAGACCACCTTCCAAAGCAGCAGACTCGCTCTTCTGGGACTGCGCGGCAGCTCGTTCTTCGCGAATCTTGGGAGTAATGGAGTCGAGGGTCTGGGGGTTGGCATCATCGCCAGTTTGTTTCCGGATCGAAGAAAGAATAGAGACTAGAGCCAAATAGAAGGAGAGTTAGCGATTTGTGATTCCAGAACTCGTCATCCTTGACGGTGACGGGATTGTCGCGGCTCGCAACCGAGGAATCGAGGAACAAGGGCAATCCCAACTCCAGTCGGCGAGACATACACTTCGGCTCCTCGGAGAAAACACTGCTCGTATTGTAGTAGTAGATAGCACCACCAGCCAAGCCCAATCGCAAGAAGGTGTTCTTCCAGCTTCTCGACTTTGTCGGACCGGTGCTTATCAATCGTCTGTTCGCAGGTGTACGGGCTGCGACAGTAGGCGCGCGGGCGAGCGCTCGAGCGGCGGGACGGAACATTATGTGTGAGAGGTGTGGGAATCAATCGAATTGACCGAGAGTTCCTCCAAAAAGGGATTGAGAGGAGGGGAGTCGAGGCACCGCGGGATGGAGAAGTTGGAAAGCGATGTGGATTTTGGCCTGAGGTTGTTCTGCCCGCGTCAGCCAGTCACGTTGCAGCTTAAGTCAAGATAATAATATCATCACCACGCAATCCTCCGAGCTTTGATTTCTCTTGGCTTGTTTACATCTTTTGGATAAGTTCAGTTTAATTTGTATTTATCTCTTGCAATGGAGTGGGATCCCAGCCGATTCTTCCGTCCTGAGGGAAGTCCTTCGCCTTATGCTCTTCTCATCCTCAATCAGCCCATCAATGAGAAAGCTTTTGGAGTGTTGAGCAAATATGGTAAGTTTCTATATGAATGATTCATGAATTTGGTGTCTTGGATAAGAAATACTAATACCAGTACAGCATCCTATATTATCTGCGCGGATGGAGGTGCCAATCGGCTTTTTGATATGCCGGAAAATAATGAAATAGAATCTAAACAAGTAAGCAATATCTATGGACTTTGGTATTTGTGTAATCCTTGTGGACTACAACTTAAGACCTAACTACTACACAACGAAGATCAAGCTGACCAGGGATATAGCTTCCTAACTGCATTGTCGGCGACCTTGATTCTATCCGCCCCGCAGTGCGAGAATATTATGAGAAACTCGGAGTGTCCGTCCTCCAAGATCCAGATCAATACTCAACAGACTTCACAAAGTGTCTGAAATATCTCAACGAGCATGCCGCGGAGATCATAGCTTCTCCCAGAAAGGGAGCAAGCACTACAAAATCAGACGCCAATGGCGCAAACGAAAGCACATCAACCCCGCCATCTGATCAATCACCTCTGGAAATTGTAATCCTGGGCGGTTTGGGTGGCCGTGTGGATCAAGCCTTTTCCCAAATCCACCATTTATACATGATGACACAGACCCAGCGCTCAATCCGTGAAACTGAAACCAACACCTCAAGCTCCAATGCCAATCCAGCTGCAGGGGGTAACCTTTATCTCGTATCTGAAGAAAGCATTACCTTCATTATCCAAACGGGGAAGAATACAATCCACACCCCGGCAACGAAACGAGCAGACATCGCGACAGCGTCGACATCTGATGCAAGCGAGTCACCGAAAAAGCGGAAGCGTGATCAGGAGCAGGAGCAAGAGCAGCAGCAAGAACCAGAACAAGAATACTTCTTTGAAGAGAATATCGGGATCATCCCCCTCTCGGCACCTGCTAAGATTACAACCCTGGGCTTTGAATGGGATGTGGAGGATTGGCATACCGAGATTGGAGGGCAAATATCCACGAGCAATCATATCCGCGCCGACAAGGTGGAGGTTGAGACCTCTGTTCCGGTTTTGTTCACAGTGGAGTTGGCAGAGAGATTGAAGAGGTGACTGTGAGTATGAAAAATGACATGGGTACCACGACAATTTGTCCAGATCTTTTCGAATCTCACCGACCTAAGCTATCAGAGTCATATATCGCTGTCACAAATTTGCGGTTCAGCCCACCTATAGCAACATATATATTAGATTGGCTCTCACCAAGGCTTAAGCCAACGTTAGAAAGCCGTCCGCAACATAGGTAAACCCGACTATACATATACTACTACACTCTGATACCCCTGTTACAGACTGGAAAATAATAAATCGGTCATTAAAAGAGAAAATAGAGAAGAATCTCCCAAAAAGATTATCAGAGCAAAAACCAGAATGAGAACCCCAAGGCGCCTTCTCTGGCTAGAACGAGAGACTAAGAAAGACAGGGGAAAGAGAAGGCAAGAAAAGAGACCCAATATCGCATATCGCGTAATCCACATACCAGTGACTAAAAACTTGAACCCATAGAACAAACAAAAACAACAACCATGGAGATGAATGGGATAACAATCATCCAAAACTACAGACTAACCATTCCTTACCAGATCATCTGTACATCCTCACAAAAGTCATATCCAGTCTCTTACGAACGGTGGAGAATAGCCTCGTACAGAGCACCAACAACGCCGATAGCTGATCCAGTAAAGAGACCGACGTCCCCACCAGGGACGGAGTCAACAACCTTCCCAATAGCATACCGGCTATAAACACCAAAGAAGTTGAAATCCTTTTGGAACACAACGTGCACCAGCAACGCCTTCACGATGTTGAAAGTCAACGGATCAAACTGGGCGAGATTAGATGCAGACCGGGTGCGACGCGCACTGCTAGAGGCCTGCCAGCTCAAGTTGATAAAGTAGGCAGAAATCAAAGGCAAAAACAGACAAGTAAGGAACCACAGCGAAAACGGCGCCCAGAACGCTGCTTCCAGGAACACAAATAGATCAGGAGCACGGATGGGAATCGCAGGGATATGCGCGGCTTGCACGGGGGGTGTAGTAGTAAGGTAGCGTATCGGAATCAATTCTTTCGCAAGACTGCCACTCTCAAGCAGCAGGACAATGATTTCAATCGCCTTCACGCTGCTCAGCGTTGCGCGCAGAGATTGCGCCCGATCTACAAAGCCCGACGCAGTCCATACATTCTCAAGGCTCTCGCGCAGCTTAATCGTTTGCGCATCGATGGCTTCGGTAATAGCAGCTGGAGACGCTGGGAGTGATGGCTCGGGGTCCACGATGGCTGAGAGAATTGCTGGTTGGCGGGGCGTCTGGCGGGGTGTCTGGCGCGCAGACTGACGCACGCTCGTGCGCGCTACAGCTGGAGTCGGGCTGACTACAACTGGGCTGGGCACGGCTTCTTCCACATCCTCGCTAGTACGTGGGTTAGTATGTGCGCGATAGCAATAGATAGGATGGCGCGTTGAGGGGCACTCTTACATAATTTCCTCTTCCTTCACTTCCTTCTTCGTAGAGCGGCGTGCTGGGGTCCGCGCTGGAGTTCGTGCGGCTTCGCGCTTGACGGGCGATCCTCTGCGGGGTGGAGAGGCTAGGCGCAAGTAGTATTCATGGAGGCTCTGGAGGCCGGAGAAGATAGAGTGGTTTTCGCGGAGATGTTTGTCCAGCACTACTACAAGATCGTTCTTGTTATAGTCATCGTAGCTATAGGTTCGATTAGCTCACTCTATGCGACAATCGCAATCGCACATACTGTGGCAGGTCCGTCTGATCAGCCAACTCGGCCAACTCGGGCTTTTTCAGCGACTTGAGATAAGGAAGAGCCATAATGTATCCGATATCAACGTAGGAAATTGGACCAATGTCAAATAAGAAAGTAAATACTGGGGAGGGGGAAAGAAGATGCAAGGGAGGGGAGTGGCCGGTAATTGTTTACATCCGCCGATCGCCAAAACAAAACACGGTTTAGCGCGTTTATTTCCTTTGTCCACTGTCATTCCAGTTCTTTGATGGGCTTTTTTCCTTTCTTTTTTTAGGTCTTTTAAGGATATGTAACCAAGGTTGTATAATAGAAAGATTCTATGTTCCTTTCGATATATATAATATATTTTGCCCTTTCTGTTCGAATACTAGCAAAGATATCACACGCAAACGAAGTCGAAAACCTAGAATATGCCAAAAAATATGTCAAAATATATATAATATGGAGTTGAAAAAAAGTGTTATGGTACAGGAGGCCGCAGCCAGTCTAATAATCTATCACAGAGTAGGGTACACAGTATACAAAGTGCTCAAAGCACCCAGGGTCATAACATCCCAAATCGGGACAAAGAATCCAACGCCCCCATTTCCCAATGACCAAAAAAATGTAAAAAAAGAACAGCAACCTTGGAAATGCATGCAGTTAGATGGATGAAAGGTCCTACAAACACTCTTCCAGAACCTGATAGGCCTCGAGTTGTTTGAGCAGGTACTGGTACATAACCAGCATAGTCCCGCTTTGGATGCTAGTCCATACACCACGTGGGCCCACGCCGCGGAACCAACCCGCAATACCTTCGGTTCGGTAGATCATCTTCAACCCGGTGAACACGGAGGAAGTGTCAAGTCGAGGCGTACCGGGCGGTGGGATTGATGTATTTGCCCCTGATGTGGAGATTGGTCGCGAGTGTGGCCGGGAAGGGTGGGAATGTGATGATGCCGGTGCGTGAGGCCGTGGGCTTTCTTTCGGTACGTGTTCAACACAGTGTTTGGCGCCCGAAGAACCGGATGGGGGCTCTAAGTGGTTTTGTTGGGTTTGGATTCGTGTTTTAACCACATCCATCGGACAGGTAATCACACCAGCCATACCGCCGGCGGTGGCAGCTGTCAAGACCTCCAATCCCAGTCCAATGTCCCGTTTTCCAACCCATTGTTTAGCCATAGATTGCTCTTTCTCGTAGAATGCGAACTGGAGCGCCGAAAATGGAAGGTCGCGGAAGATAGTGGCCTTGTAGCCGTGGAATAATGCCGAAAATCCTTCCAGGTGGACGATCTGGCGGAACCCATCTCGCATGTTGCGGTAGTTGTAGCCCGAGTTGAAGTGCGGGTTGTTGTATCGGCCCTGCAGCTGGAGTCGCGTTTTCAGCACCTCGGATGGCACATAGACAACCGATGCAGCCAAGTCGGCAAAGAAACCACCGGATAAATAGGCGATACTGGGATTGATCCCTGAGTCGATCATCAAGCGCTTGGTATATTCATAGACGCCGAAGAAGATCACAGTTCCGGGAAATGAGCCGAGCAGGGCCGGCGTTACTCCTCCATATAATCCGCGACAGAATCCTTCTTGGCGGTAAATTGTTGAATAGGACTGGCCCATCGAAGTGTATTTGGGCGGGAAGGTCGGATCGCCTTGTTGTCGGGTCTTGACTGTATCTAATGAGTGCATCAACATGTCGCCGCATGTTCCTCCGGTACCACCAGCCAACATCGCCTATAATTTCAAATCAGGTCAGTCCTTGCGCAATGGTGTGATGCCACTAGGGACAATAGTACATGTAGGTATGGAGGCCGAGGCTCCTCGTCCTCCAACAGCGCGAAGTCGCCATTTCGAACACTGTGGTGTGAGTCATCGATTCCACCCATTGGAGCCGGCTGTGTCCATGGCGAGGTATGCGAGTCCCCCGCAGGGGGTGCTGTTGGGTCCGAGGTCGCTGTCGAGAACAGGCCGAACACCCGCGAGGTCAAGCTCATGGCAATATTATGCCAAACTGCAATCCCGAGCGGTCGTAGTCGGGGCCAGGTTGGGGATTAGGGGGTGCTGAGAGATTTAACGGGAGAGGAGCACCCCTGGGAGGTAAGGATAAGAAGAAAGAGTGACAAGAGATCAAGGAAGGATTGATTAGTATTGTTTGCGAGATGATTGTTCCACCAGCCAAAATTCTGATCGGCCTATCTTCGCCGCCAAGCCCGATCCGCCGCCTCAGGCATGAATCACGGGGTTTCGTCATTGGAGGATTTTAATATCTTGATATGATTGATGGTGGGAATAATTTATCGCATGAACCTGTAGATTTTGCATGGGTCGCTTTCATCCCATGTATGCAAGGACACAAGATGATTAGTTCATATGAAATCCGCAAATGAGCTTCTTATATGTCCTTCTTGATATTATCCAAAGCTACATACACATGTACCCATACATGCTTATTTTTGACAAATCCATACATACACCCTGTTTGATCTGTTTCAGCGCCCTTCTGTGAGGGTGATATTTCCTATTCAGTTGTTCCCAATACTATATTCAGTGGAGCTCTACAAATCTCTATGTTGGAAAAATCAAATGAATCCGAAACAAGGTATGTTGACAAGAGGAAAGCAAATACAAAACTATGCATCGCAACACTCTAGAAATAATAAACACAAGTCGTTGCGTATAACATCATCATGGCGGGAATCCTCCGCGTCCGCCTCTTTTCTACAGTCGGGACCTGGGCATCCCATACCCCGACATCCTCCATGTTCTTCGCTCAGGCGGGAACATGCCAATGGGAAAGATAAAGCTGTAATATTATGTCTTGCACCAGCCACCTTCGTTCAGTAATCTTGCAAACCTAAGACCCACGTTCTTTCCTGACGTCATGAGCTCCAGCTAGCAAAGCAAGGTGTCTGGCACATCACCATAGAGACATTTACTGCGGCTTCTTGGCTGCGGTAGGGCCAGAGATGTAGCGGCCAATATCAGTGGCCTCGTAGCCCTGGCGCACAACACCCTTAAGGGTCTCCCAGCCCTGGCGAACCTGAGGGGGGTGCTCTGGTGGGAGATGGTGGCGTCGGCACGGGCGGTGAGCTGGCGGACAGCCTGCTGGACAAAGGAGCTCTGCGCGTAGCGGGCGCGGAAGAAAGACAGGTAGACGATCAGGAGCACCCAGCTACCCTTAGAGAAAGTGATAGCGGACAGAACGAGGCGGAACAACAGGGCGATCTCGAGAGTAGCGACAACACCCATGCTGGCATCGTAGTACTGCTTGATGAACCGCCCAATGGTCTCGGCGAGGGGAGACTGCTTGGCAGCGGGCTTGGAGCTGGGGGAGGTGGGAGAGGTAGGAGCGGCCGGAGCAGCGGGCTGCAGGGTAGGAATCAAATACGTGCGGCTGTAGGTTGCGACGTGGAAGACCGAGTAGACGCTGAAAGGCAGAAGAGCCAGGATGAGCTGGCGCGAGTACAGCCAGACCAGAGCCATTCCTATGATACGTGTAAGCTTGAATTTTGGAGTTTCGCATTGCCGATCACTCACCAAGGTATTGCACATTCTCATCAGAGATAAGCTTCATCACGATTGCCAGAGGGGTGCCCTGGACACCCCGGGCGAAGTGGCCCTTGTACACGACGATTCCATAAGTCACGGCGGCCGAGATGAAGGCCAGGCGGTAGGCGATCTGTGCCGAGGAGGAGTAGTAGTTGAAGAAGATGCAGGACAGGGAGTAGCGGAAGACGGAGAGCAAAAGTGTCACATGTCTAGAAATTGTTAGTGGCCCTGGATTCAGGTCTTTGTCGGTGTGCGCTTCGGCAAATTAGACCTACCCAACGAACCAGGCGAACCTGCAATGTGGCATTTCGTTAGTATTGACAAACAAGACATTGAAAAGGTCACTTCAGCATCGGATTCAGTATCGGACTGGGGAAACGCACTGTAGGGTCTGCGCCAAGGCCTTGAGTCTCTCAGCCAGAGGCAAGCTTGCGGAAGGAGGAGCCATAACGTTTTGCACTGAATTACAGTGAAGGGGATAATAGAATTGAATACTCGAGATGAAGGAAAAGTAAAGGTAGAAATTGTGGAAAGCGACAGATAAGACGGTGGCTGGGGAGAGCGGGGAGACGAGTTCGCACCCGTGGACGCACACTGAGCTTCCCACCTCTCTCTCTTCCTCCGCCTTCTGCCATGGTGACGTCGGGTATTCGGGATGATGCAATTTCTTATCTACATCTATATACGAAGTACGGAGTAGAGTTTCTTAACTTCAATTACATATACTTCTTCAACTTCAGTTTTTGGTCTATTATCTGAACTTGTCTATCTGTTTGTCTCAACTTCAACTCGAGTCGGTGTGACCGACCCGCTTGAGGAGATCCAGTTTCAGCACTAACGTTCGGCCATTTGCATACACTTGCATGATTCTCCAATAGTTCATGTATCGGTTATATCCTGATAGCTCACACGTCTTTCTTGAATAAATGTCAACCTGAAGAGATTTCGACATAAGGAGTGCTTAATATCAGTTTCAAGCTTAGCCCAAGCTCTTCCGGGAATATATATAGAACCGGCTAAGTATAGATAGTATAGACTCGGGTGGAGGAACTATACTCAGATCCTACAGCCGTTGGAATTGCCGGCTACTAACCAAAGATAACACGTGGCAGGTATTGATGAAATTGCATTCGGAGTTTTGATCCTTTATCCATGAGAGTACCTTGGTGCCATTATAGGCGAAGAAAGCGAGAGGCCTATATAAGTACTCACGATTCTCAACATGGTCAAGCAAACTTATTAGCTGACGCACATAAGATAAGCCAGGCAATAGGATGCATTTTCAACGCTAGGTCCTTCTTTGGAATACTTAATTCTCGGAAGCCAAACCCCTTGAACGCTAGCTTTAAACCGACTTGGGTCAAGAAATAACAAAATCATGCAAGGTATAACTACATACTTTGTTAGGAAGCACCTTCTAATTCCCTCATTATTCCTTGAGTCCAGTCACTACTTATTATGGATACTCAGCTAACTGGCGACGTAGTACTCCGTATACGAGAGTTGGCATTACCACATAACTAGGACTTCCAATAGCCGACGCATAACATGCACCACAATGCACCACAAAGGAGGTCCGCCGCCAAGCACGGACACACTTCTTGTCGCACCCTTGCCGCGTGCAGAACTTGGTACTAATCTACGTTCGAAAGATGAAACGAGGTACACTCAGCATATCCAATACCTAAATTTATCCACATGGAGCCTTCCCAAATTTTTAGCTTTCCGGTGTAGTATGCACTAAACCTGCCAGGAACACAACAATCGAATCAGTGGAAGTGTACAATCTGAATACGGGTGATCTACATCAATCGACGCTAATATCCCGATAGCCCTACTATTTTTAGGCGTGCATGTTGTTCCCTGATAGGCAAGTCTTCAGGAACACGAGCGCCAAGCTTAACCGATGTTTAGATTAAGCTTAGCAACATCGGACATGTGAATAACACGGGAACTTCCTATGGAGATTATACGAGATGACCCTTTCGAATGTAGATTTGTTACTTTCACTTGATACCACCTTAACACTGCATACGGGCTTCATGGAAAGAATCTACGAATACGAATCGAAGATCTCTATACGAGCTTCGTGGGGTCCAAAGCAGGCAAGAATGAACAAAATAGGTATTTTGCGTAGTATACGATCTCGAGGAATGAAGAGCCCAGGGGTATAAATTGCTCATTGATTCCCCTTCAAACCTTTCTGTCCATCAGCTCACAACATCGCAATATCGGCTACTCTACACTCTCCATTCTGCAGTAACAGCTTCAACTTCACAATATACTTCAATCCATTCAAAATGATGTTCACTCCTATTCTGGCACTCGCATTTGCCGCCATCACGCCAATCATCAATGCCTATCCCATCACCGGCGATGTCGTCAACTGCCGCTCTGGTCCAGGGACCTCTTACTCTATCATCAAGAGCTACAAAAAGGGAGCCGACGTTGCAATTACCTGCCAGGCCGCTGGCACTACCGTGAACGGCAACGAAATCTGGGACAAGACCTCCGACGGCTGCTATATTACCGACTACTATATCAGAACCGGGAGCAGCAGCTATGTCACCAAGAAATGCAGCGGCAGCAGCGGTGGTGGCAGCAGTGGAAACCTGCCCGGTCTCACATCCACCCAGTCCAAGCATGCAAAGGCCATCATCGGAGAAGCGAAAAAAGAAAATCTGGGTCGTCAGGGCTGTCTTGCTGGAATTGCAACCGGGCTTGTCGAGGTAAGTCTTAGCATACCCAATTAGTTCCGATACGATGACTCAAAACTTTACTAACACTACACCAAGTCTAATATGCTTATTTACGCCAACAAGAAAGTCCCCGCTTCCCTCAAGTATCCCCATGATGCTGTGGGCTCGGACTACGACAGCGTGGGTATCTTCCAGCAACGCGCTGTTTACTACCCTGACATTGCTGCCGATATGGATGCTGCCAAGTCAGCCGCACAGTTCTTTAAGGGCATGAAGAATGTTAGCGGCTGGAAGACTATGGAGGTTGGCAAGCTTTGCCAGAAGGTGCAGGGGTCGGCGTACCCAAGTCGGTATGCAGAGCGACTCGCTGAGGCTAAGAAGATTTGTGTTGCTGGTGGCTTGTAGATGGAAATTATGTGACATTTGCTTGCTTATATCACGCTTACTAGACATTGTCATGACTTTTGGACCGCTTGTTTTGTTGGAACCCAAAGAATGTTTGTGACTTGGCTTATTACTGCTTATAGTACGAGAAATATACAGACTTTTGATATTGTCATCTCCTTGGTGGTTCTAAAAGGGAATGGAGGTCAACATTTACTCCTCGCTCATGTCATGTACGTACCGGAGATAGTAGCAGGACGGGATGAGAGACAATTGGAAGGAAAGGCTTAGATGGTATTGTTTTTCGAAGTGTATAGAGGAGACGTTAAAGGAGGTGTCAAAATGTGAAAATAACTGCGGAAATAAGAAAATATATAAAGTTGCTAAACTTAGAGACCTCGAAAAGCTATGGGAGGCGAAACCTCTAGGCAAGCTCTATCGTTTTAAGATCCCACCAAGCAAAATTTAAGATACCCAGTCTTCCTATGCAGTTATCCTACGTCGTTAGCGCAAATTCCGTGCCCCCCCAGAATCCGCTACACCCATAGCCGAAAAGAGAGATGGAACTGATGTACTAAAGCGGCGCTAGGATGATTTATCCGCCACACCTTTCTCCAGCTATCAAACGCCATGGCCGAAAATAAGAAGGGACGTGATATGAAAAAGCAGCATTAGGATGATTTGTCGTCATGCTTTCCGGCGCTCATGCGCCATATTCATAGGCAAAACAAGGGCACCGCAAACAACTACCTTTCCACAAGAGCATGATCTTTCCACGTCATATACTGGTATTCCTCATGAGAGGAAGTCTTTTGTACTACAGGGGAATGCAAATAACCGAGGCCTTGCACTATTCCCTTTGATAGAGCAAATTCACGGAAACTGGTGGTGTGTTGCCTTTCAGGCCTGGTGCATATGGTTTTACTCAACCTTCGGAATAACGTGAAATGGTGGCATCTTAGCTGCATTGGGATTAACGCCGTGATCGTAGACATGTTCCCAAAGTAGGTGTATAGTATTACCAGTTAGGTATATACTTCCAGGTATGTACATGTACTCCTAGACTAAGTATCATACATGGTTTGCCTAGGTGGCATCTTCCATGAGCCCGTGTGTCCTGCAGGTGGCCCAATACCATGGTTCCCTACATTCCGTGTTTCTTTAATCTATGTTCCCCAGATTTAGCCATGCGAGAACCCCATACTCCATAAAACAACTTAAAATTAAGTTTCCCCGGTAGTTGAAAATCACATGGCAGACCTCGGGCCATCTACATACTAGCGCCAACTTTGGAATCCAGCAAGGCCTTCTTCCCCGCCATTTTCCACTTATGGGCCCATCTTCAATGACTATCCTGAACTCTGTCTGCCCCGGATTATGCACGGTATAGAATCGTATTCAATATATGGAGTACGAAGCTATACGCTGCTAAAAACACGTGCCAACCCCACCCCAAGTACAATAAATTCCGAAGGATCCATTGTCCTGGCCTATGAACAGCCACCAATTCTGGATTTCAACTAGAGCTATGGATCATCCAGCTTCGTATGTCGACTTCGTTGGTTTCCAATGTCGGGTCTGGGGAACATGCCACCTCGGTCGAGCAACCCCGCAATCGGGGGTTCTCGTAGAATCATCGCATACAATGCACCTAGCTAGTAAGATCTACAGAACTAGATCAAACACATGGAAAGGTTAGTGGAATTTCCAGAAAAGAACCTTGGATGGTTCGCCGGATAGATTTGCCGGAGTTGGGGTGCGGGGTGGAGTTCGTGAGCCGTGGATTCATTCTTTCTCATTCCCAAAGTCAGTATGACAGCATTGGACGAAGGAATCTATGAAACAGACGTTTAACTGAAAATCAAGTTAACGGTTTTCCTCGGTTCGCCCCATCTGGTATTTTAGATCAATGTAGAAACTCCATATGTCATTCTAGTCTACCACTCCTCCGTACGTAGTTGGCTCCAACCCCTCACCACTATATACCCATGCTCCAACGTACGCCATTTAATTAACTTCCCGATCCTGGACCATACAGGGTCTACAATCCCCGCCTATAAAGAATACCAAAAATTTTCTATTCAGCCACGCAATTTAAAGAATGCCCTTATGTAGGTACAACGCTCCAAGCTTGGGCCTCGACAAACGAATCTCACATAATCGCCAATCCTGGTCACGGACCAGCTGCACGGTCGAGGAGTTTCTACCCGATGCATCTAGCAAGAATCTAGAAGGGTTCTCCGAAATTCCAACAGGGATGTCACTGTGTATGGTGTATACTAGGGTTTCGCTAATATAATAACCCTTGCAATCACATTTAACCGGCAGTAAAACTAGTAAGTACTCCGCAGCAATACACACATTTACAGGCTGAAACTATATCGAAACACTAGCCCTAACGAGGCAAAACCGCCGTTCCTGCATGTCGGAAAGCTAGTGGAGTCCGTAGTAATCCCGACTTGCGCTAGGCAGGGGAAATAGTGCCGCCCCCGGTATTAGAGGTGTTATTACGTAGTACGGAGTACGATGGCTTGGTGGGACCGGTTTTTTTTTCCCTACGCGAATGCGATATTTTCCCGTAGGAATTTATGTACATGATCGGTCAGGTCCACAGCTGCAGTTCTAGTGGAATTATATCACTGCATTCATGGTCACACTCACGGGCATACTGATGTGGGGACCTGACTCAATTGTCGTGGTTGAGATTCTAATGGGGGGGGGTTTGTAACGGGATGGACTAGACCCGATTTTCGGCATATGGAAGTTAGAAAGGGTAGGGATTGTGGAGTCAAGATGTCAAAATAGATCAGAATAGAAATATTGTATACCAAGTGGAATCAAGTACGAATATGAAATACATAAACATCATACATCATTGATACATACACGTAGGGGTTGCAAAATTCACTGACGCCTAACCGGGAAATACTGAGACGTCTCCTGTAACACCGTGTCTCAAGAGAAAACCCGAGAATATCCCTTCCGTGTTTCTTTTTTTGCGTAGATCTCCCATGTTTCAGAAAGGGGGAGAGGGTATAGGCTAAATATGGGACAGATCAAATAAAACCCCAGTAAATATTTTAGAGCATTAATAGGAAAAAAAAGGGTCAAACATGAAAACGTATTTCAGTGACATTACACTTGTTCTCGCCCGTACGCCGGTGCAAACGAAGACTGGGGATCCCACTCGCGTGCACTAGGCGGCCTAGGCCCTGAAAAACTCAAGGAGGGACGCACATAGCGGGCCTCACGAGCGACCTGAGTATTGCGCTCGGAGCTTGGACTAGGGCTGGCGATCGGACTGCGGCCGTATCCAGTCATCTGCGTGGGGCTTGACGAAGGCACGAAAGTACTGCGGTCATGGCCCATTTGTGTAGGACTCGGTGAGCGCATAAAAGCGTTGCGATCAAGTCGGGAAGGGCTTCGCGAGCGCATGAATGTATCGGGTGATTTCACAGACGTAGTCAACATTTCGAAGCCCTTGTTGTCAGCGAAGCGGGTGGATGCATCCGCAGAGACGAACTCGTTGCGGCGTATCACTTTGCGGCGGAATAGATCCAGCCAGCCGGCGAACATGGACGGACGAGCGAAGAGAATGAAGTTCCAGAAGCCGACGAGCGAGAGCAGGAACACGACTGCTAGTAGAGTTGCTTCATTGGGGCCGATGGCTGCGGCGTATTCGCGGCAGAGATCTTTGTCGCCGGTTTCGGCGAGGCACATTAGCCAGGGGCCTGCGGTTTTGACGTTTTCTACCGTTGGCGCCACAGCGTTATCGAGGCTGATGAAGACGACTGCGAAGAAGAGGACGTTGCCGAGAATGATTGATGTGAGGGCGATGCCCCGCCATTGGAGTTTAAGGACGCGGCGTACGCGCCGGTAGGCTTGCCGGGCTGTCACAGTGCCGATGCTGGCTGAATATGAGGGGAGGTTGGTACCAGAGCTGCCTGATGTTGAGGCGGATTTGTCGAAGAGAGAGCGAAGGTAGATGTGGGTACAGTAGACCATTGTGGATAGTTGGAGGAAGAGGGCTGCGACGGCAAAGATCATAACTGGGATCCAGTAGTCGTATAGTCCGTTGGTTACGTTGATATGGCAGATATCGCCAAATCGGAATGACACTCCGGTCAGTATCAGCATAATTGTCAGTCCGATTGCTGGGATTCCGAATCCGCAGACAAAGGCTCCCCACATGAACTTCGGTCCTAGGACTCTTTCCCAGCATACTTGTAGGTGGAAAGCCATTGTGCGAATAAAACTCCAAATGACCACTAGCCAGCCCCCGAATAACAACAAGGACCCGGAGAAGGCACAGGAAAGATTGGAGCGCATGTCATTGGGGGGTGATTGCATTGTGGCATTGGTCTGGTTTGGCGCCGAGGGGGATGATAAAGGCGAGCTAGATCAAAGTTAGCCATAAAAGTTCCCAGTGCACACCAACATCCAACTTGCCTCCATGCAACAAATTCCTAGCGTAAAGCAGATACTCAGATAATGACGGTGAGTCCATTTGACAGGTAGCACGGCGTATGAAATCAACAAGAAGATACAAAGAGGGAGAATGGCGACGCTGATCCAACTCGTGACACTGATTTTATCGCGCAAGTCTATATAACCATCAACCACGTTAGGCATTGGAATTAGAAAGGGCCCAGAAATTACTGCACTCACCAGTTCATATCTCCACTCAGCAAGAGGACATGGCAAACAACAGGAATAGGTGCTATTGCCATAGCTAACGTCTTTGCAATAGCGACCATCGATAAATCCCCCGACGGTGGGGAATAGCGTCTCCTGCAGGAAGGGAGCCGGACAATGTCCAGTTAGGGCGTGCACCATGATGGCGAGATATGCATATCCTGCGCGAATTCCTAACGCGCCAGCGCGATATCGCAAAGGAATAGTATATGTAGCCGAAAGATGGAGAGAGGGATAGAGAAAGGATAAATGGGGGTATACATTATACTTTGTACGATGTACTCTCCGTACTTCGTACTACCGGTACGTTGGGAATGCCCAGGTGGTATAGTTTGGAAGGGCCCGTTCTCTGCCCCACCGGCACACGAGGCACCACATCCTACCCACGGTCCTCTAGAACTCAATTGGGTCTTGGCAAAGTTATTTAGCGGGGATGAAATACAGTATGGGTATTGTATATTACAGTATGGAGTCCGAAGTACACGATCTTTTGAAAATGACTGACCGAGGAACGTATGTAGAAGGCCATAAGCCATATGCAGTACCTTTGGTGATAATCCGAGACTCTTGGTGTAAAAAAGCACTCCGTACGTACTGCGTATCTTTGAATATGGAGAGCACAGTGTAGATCTTATTGTAACATTGTAGTGTATTATTGATAATTAATACCAGCACCATTTATCAGCCTCTTCCATACTTTGCCCTTTCCGTGGTTAGTGTTTTTTACCATTTTTCAGCCCACAAGGAATACAATGTTAATGTTGATCTATATTGTATTTAAATGAGATTCAATAATAGATCTATGTTAATACGTTGAAGCTGATAAATTACACAGCTGGCAGGTACGCCCTCAGAGTGTCTAGCCCCAAGCTGACAGCAGGTCTGCCAAGCACTCGCCTCTTCAACTCTTCGCTACTCTGGCACCTGATTCGATTGCATTATTTACCCCTGGAGATCAAATTCTGCCTGTTGTAGCACAGAGGGGCAAAAAGTATCCAGTGTCACCAACAATAGAATTCCTTCCCGAGAGCCCACGCGTTAATCCACCCAATCATTACGACCAACCCACCTCTCGCTGTGATCACCGCCGACATTCGTCGCTCATAAGTCCAATCGAATGGCTAACAGAGTTAAACATGCTATATATATGTACTCTGTATGCTACTAGACGATCTATCACAGCGAAGTGGCCAACAAGACGATTTGAATGCATTTAAAAGTCCCAGAATCCTGATCCATGTCAATCCCCGTATCGACCATATCCTGATCCTCACGTTGGATCTTATTTATGGGTAGATCAGCTGACCCATCACCATATACAACATACATATTCCACAATAATAACTAGTTAACCAGTTAGTACGGAGTACAAAGTACCTATCTGTATGCCTAGATCACACCGACATCCTCTGATCATCACACCTAGCGCCAATCACGGACCCTGACTCTTAAACCAGTTAAACACGTACTCTTCGCATCTTCATATTGTGTTCTTTTCTATCAAGATCACCATCATCCACTTATGAGTCATATACAATGCCTAGCACACGCACAGCCCGATGTCCGCATCAAATCACAGAACCCCACCAGTAGTTCTCCTTATCACCTTGATTCTACCCTCGCGATTACCAGGACCCTTCATGTACATTATATCTGCCTTGGATGGAAACACACTCTCTGCCTAAACACAAAGCTATCAATCCGACTCCCTAACTCTTCCCCCACTACGGAGTAGTTCGTAGTCAATCCTACACCGGACAAGAAATAAACAAGAAAGAAACTACAGGGCAGAACAGTCTTCGCTACTGAAACGATTCATTTTGCCAAGATACAGACAAGCTAGGCGGCTGCTGCCATCAAAACTACTCTGTAAAGTAAGAGGAAAAGAACATCCAAATGTCTGTCAACGCCCCGGCCCCCACTTCGTTCTATTCCCAAACCAACACGGAGTCAATCACTCAACAAAAAACACCAAATACACGAGCTCAATATTATCGTTGAATTTGCACTTACAGCCACTCGCCCAGTCGCGCTAACACTGCAGCGCTTGAAATCCTAAATAATGTACTTTGTAGATGCCCTCCAAGCTCATCGCAAAGCCCAAGCCCAAGCCCAAGCCTCTCGCTAAAATAAATAAAGTAATGTTCAAGCCCCTTTATCTAAATCTTTAAATCTTTAAATCCTTAAATCTAATTTCTCTAATTTCCTCCCCCACAGCGATCAACCCTTAAATTCGAGTGCTATAAACATGCTATAAACCCCTCTTTCCACCCCCATGCTGCACCTCCGCCAGACTTTCCATTCTCCATTCTCCATTCCGAAACAAGATCCCCAGAATCCTACCCAACACGAAATATGTACGGGATAACCGGTAATATTAACCCGAGATATTCTCGTGGCCGTGTAGATCCTGAATCATGTCGCATCTGGAGCGACATGATTCGGATAACTTGCCTCCCAGAACCCCGGATGGGTAAATCAGTGGGGGCAAGTGGATTCCGTGACACCACAGTTAACGGAAAACCTGCAAGATTGAGTGTTGGGGTTTAGTTTTAGGGCTGCGGCGGTGGGTTTAGGGTAGTGTTAAGAGATTAAAAAAGAGGTTGGTGATATTTAGGTGTGTTAGTGGGTGTGTTATGTTTTGGCCCCCCCGAGGCAGTTTTGTGGTTCTTTGTTTCGCTAGATTTGGTAAAGGACAATCAAAGAGTAGATAACGATCAAATCAGCCTAAAAAAGCTCGAATAAATATTGGAATATAGTCTGGATAATTTGGATAATGCGTGGAGTACTCCGCACAGGGTTCGGTGTCATATGCAGAACTCAGAGGCAACTAAACCGAAGCTGCAGAATCAAATGAGGAAAGGTTCTCGACCCTGAATTTACTAATATTCCTGGTTTCTTCTTTCGAATCCATTTGCCTACTTTATTTGTTATACTACATACACTGCATATTGTACCGAGTACACTTGCACTATACTATGATTACTATAAGAGGCCCACGGGTATCATGATCATTACTCATGTCTCTGGCATTCGTGACACCCATGTGAGGGCCACATCCCCCGCATGAGTGATGAGAATACCCAGTTGCTTGGCGCTTGACAAGCCATTCCTCAACATGGCACGGCGTGTTGGTGGTAACAGGACTCGAATGCATAGTCACGTCACAGTTCGACGCCAGCCGGCACATTACTCTGCGAATACGCCGTTCACTCCAGTACCCTTCAAAATGACCTCATCGGTCCAATACAGGTCCGACCAAGGAGGGACCAGGTACTATACAATGAGGGCGGTTGCCGAGCCCGCGACAACCCCTCCACCCTGGACGCTATACCTAGTTCACAACCTGAAAATTTTATCTTGTGAAAACAGGGCACCCTGAAACCTCAGGGACCAGAAGAACCAGGTGATCGGGTCGAACTCTCATCCCACCCCCACTCCTTCAGCAACTGCTTCACACGGTACTCAGTCGCCCAGCCCAGATCAGACTCGATACTTCTCAGCAGACGCACGGTAGTGCGGCGCTCACCCGGGTCAGTCAGACACTGCCCGCTAACAAAGAGCGGCTGCAGCGAGTTAATCCTAACGCTTCCATCCGGCCGGGAGAGACCGATACCCACGATCTCGCGGCTATGGAATGCGATCTCAGACTCGATGGAGCGGTATGACTGGAGCCGGAGCGTGATCGTGCTCCGACGGCTGGTGGACTCGTGCGGCTTGTTAATGAGCAGCAGAATGCGCGCCATGTGGTAATGCTGCATGGCGGAGGCGCACATAGGGAGACTGTACCAGATTTCCTGCAGGGTGGACATATCTTCAATTTCGTTGCGCGCGCGATGGTGTGTGAGATTGGATGGGTCCATTCGTGCGCAGGGCTGGAATGTCTCTGGGATCCCGTTGTACCATGCGTCGAGCTCGGATTCGAGCCTGTACCACCGCTCCAGGAGGACTTGTTGTGAGACGCCTAAGGGCCCTGGTACGGATCGGTGGTCGGTGAGGTGCACGTTGTCGCCGGAGCTTATGAAGTTGACTATCTTGGACATTATCCAGACTAGGCCGTTACTGATTAGGTCTTCTTTCATTATATCTTCGCCTTCCGGATATCCTGCAGCGCCTGTGTTGCTGGCGCGGACATAGCCCGCGTTATCGATAAGTAGACCTGCTTCGGTCCAGAGGACTGTGTCGTCTGTGTTCAGTCTTGTATGGCATTCATTGATGACTTCTTCCTGTCAGCGGAGTTTTGGAAGGAACCATTCGTTGGGAGAAAATACTCACATGCAGCTAAATAGTCCTGCCGCGCGAAATTCCAAAATGTCGCCCTCCGAGCCTTGGAAAGACCCGACTTCTTAGGGGTCTGCGTTTGATATGAGTTCTCTCCCGGAGACGCACGCTGCTCAAGAGGCATCATGCCCACTTCAGCGACATCAAGCAACGACTTCACGCCACTCAAATGACGATTCCACGCAGGGCCTGCGGCATCGAGAAACTCATACACAGACAGAATGGCCGTCGCCGCGAGTACCTCATCGGAATGAACTCCATGCGAGAGCCGACTACCAGAAACCCGTCTGCGGCGCTTACGTGGGTTATCCGAATCTACAGAAAGCTCGGCAGCCTGCCATTGACCGAAAGCCTCTGGGGTGCTCAATGGAGGT